AACATAGTAGCTTAGCTTCCCCTTTCCACCTCCAGAAAAAAACAAAGCCGATATGTTCTTTAAGGGAAAGAAAATTTCCCCTAGACTTTAGCTAGTTTTTCTCTAAACTTTCCCTTTTAGCCCCAAAGAGGAAGTGTCTGGTGGGTTCTGGGAGGAGGTGCTTGGCGGAGGCCCAGCCCAGCCATAGCGACACCAGAGTCTGCAAGGAGCCTCCTGGGTTTGATCCTGGGACTCTGAGCCCAGGAACAAGTACGGCTGCCAAATGGGTTGTGAACTGTCGACCTTGCCTTGACCTCTCAGTAGCCCTTACCACAGTTGGTCGCTCCCCTGTCTTCACATGACTGGCTGCCCTCCCTCTCTTGGCTCCCCTCGTCCCTCTGGCCTCTGTCTGTCTCCATGGCTGTGTCTCCCTGACCTCTCCTGACCTCCAAGTGGTGGCAGGCCCAGGCCCAGGCCCAGTCTCCAGACCTCTCCTCTTTTCCCCTCTCTCTTCCTATCCAACAGACTGTTTTTTTTTTGTTTGTTTGTTTGTTTGTTTTTTTAGGTCTAGTAATAATTAATGTCGTTTTCTAATACTTTTTTAAATCGAATTTATTTAAACAATACAACAAAATTTAATCAACAATATAGTTGCCGTTGTTTTCTACTACTTGTGCCCAATGCTCAGGAAGCATTTTAATCCCTCTGTTGTAAAATTCTTGTGATTTTGATGCAAAAAATTCGGTCAATGCATTTTTGAGGCATTCTTCATTATTAAATTTTTTTCCAAGAAAAAAGTTTTGCAAAGAACGAAACAAATGGTAATCGGAAGAGGCAATATCAGGAGAATATGCAGGTTGAGGGAGAACTTCCCATTCCAACTGGCGCAGTTTTTCAGCAGTGATTCTTGCAGTATGCGGTCGTGCGTTATCGTGGTGAAGAATTACGCCCTTCCGATTAATCAGCGCGGGTTCTTTTTCTCTTAAAGCTTGGGCTAACCTTTCTAGTTGGGTACTATACACTGCACTTGTAATGGTTTGGTTAGATGGTAAAAGTTCATAATGAAGAATTCCTTTAAAATTCCACCAAACACACAACATCACTTTTTTCGCATGCAAGTCAGGTTTTGGCGTGGGCTGCGGAGCCTCATTTTTGTCCAACCATTGAGGCCGCCTTTTCAAATTAACATACAGCACCCATTCTTCATCTCCAGTAACAATTTGCTCTAAAAACGGCAAACGGTTTTGACGAGAGAGGAGCAAACTGCAAATTGTGACTCTTTGATTACGGTTGTTGTCGGTCAACTCATGAGGAACCCATTTTCCAAACTTTTGGACTTTGCCAAGTGCACGCAATTGATTGGAAATTGTTTTTTGTGAACAATTTAAAGTTGTCGCAAGCTCTTGTTGGGTAATTTGACGATTTTGCACCAAAAGAGCTTGAAGAGCTTCTTGATCAAAATTGGACACACGGCCTCGACCACTCTTGTCATCTAACGAAAAATTTCCCTCGCGAAATTTCTCAAACCAACGCTGGCATTTTCTGGCGCTAACTGCATCTTGACCAAGAGCAATACAGATGTTTTTTGCAGCCTCACTTGCTTTTCTTCCTAATTGGAACTCGTAAAGCATGCAGTGCCGAATATGCTCTTCATCCGCCATCTTCTTAGCCCTAGTTTTGCAACAAAAACCAAACCAAACACAAACTTTTTCAAGCAAAACTTGTTAATTGCACTTCACACATTCTGTAGATACCACGTGTTTGAAGGTTATGTCAATACAAGTCAACGCCAAGCAAGATTTTAAACGAATGTTTAAAAACGACATTAATTATTACTAGACCCAATATAATATATTTTATTGATATTTTACAGAGAGGAAGGGCGAGAGATAGAGAGCTAGAAACGTCGATGAGAGAGAAACATTGACCAGCTGCCTCTTGCACACCCCCTACTGGGGATGTGCCCGCAACTAACGTACATACCCTTGACCGGAATCGAACCCGGGACCCTTCAGTCCGAAGACAGACGCTCTACCACTGAGCCAAACCGGTTTTGGCCAGGCTGTTTCCTGGACATCAGTCGCTGGTCCTCCAGTTTAATCTCTACACAGCAGCCAGAGGGACCTTTTAAAAACCCAAGGCATGCCCAGCAGGCGTGGCTCAGTGGTTGAGTATTGACCTTTGAACCAGGAAGCCACTGTTTGATTCCCGTTCAGGGCACACATCCAGGTTGAGGGCTCAACAGCTGATCAATGATCCTCTCTCATCATTGATGTTTCTTTCTCTCTCTCTTCCGACCTCTCTGAAATCAATACAGATATTTTTAAAAGGTAGATTGCTGTCCTGGCCGGGTGGCTCAGTGGGTTGGAGCATCAGCCTGTAAACCGAAAGGATTGCAGATTCGATTCCTGCTCAGGGCACGTACCTAGGCTGCGGATTTGACCCTGGCCTGTTGGTATTTCTCTTCTCTCTCTCTCTCATCAATAAATATCTTTGGATGAGGATTTTAAAAAAGTTATGTTGCTTAGAGCCAGCACATGTGCTTATAGGAACTTAGGGTTCAGGAATGCCCAGTGTGCGATGGCTCGTTTACAAGGCCGTCGCTGTGGCCACGCAGGCAGGGGTGAGGCTGGCGGGAGCCATGTGCCTGTTTGACGGCAGGGGGCGGGGTTGGTGCGTGTTGCGGGTCAGGCTGCGACACTCGGCGCCGGAGGCTCTGCCTGTGTGGCATGGAGGGCTGGCAGAACACACTGTGGGGCAGAAGCATGACCTCATTTTTATAGGAAATTAAAACGATGGGATATGTTCCAAGAAATGCTTCATGAGGTGATGTGTGTCACCGTCAGAACATCTGAGGGGCTCGCACAAACGCGGGGGGCCTAGTCGGCTTCACACCTAGGCCACCAGGTAGCGCCTCCTGCTCCGAGGCGGCCAGCCTGTGCGGCAGTTACTGTGCACAACAACCTGCGGTCAGTAACGCTCGGAGATGGTGTGCGGTCAGTAACGCACGGAGATGGTGTGCGGTCAGTAACGCACGGAGATGGTGTGCGGTCAGTAACGCTCGGAGATGGTGTGCGGTCAGTAACGCACGGAGATGGTGTGCGGTCAGTAACGCACGGAGATGGTGTGCGGTCAGTAACTCTCGGAGATGGTGTGCGGTCAGTAACGCACGGAGATGGTGTGCGGTCAGTAACGCACGGAGATGGTGTGCGGTCAGTAACTCGGAGATGGTGTGCGGTCAGTAACTCTCGGAGATGGTGTGCGGTCAGTAACGCACGGAGATGGTGTGCGGTCAGTAACTCTCGGAGATGGTGTGCGGTCAGTAACGCACAGAGATGGTGTGCGGTCAGTAACTCTCGGAGATGGTGTGCGGTCAGTAACTCTCGGAGATGGTGTGCGGTCAGTAACTCTCGGAGATGGTGTGCGGTCAGTAACGCACAGAGATGGTGTGCGGTCAGTAACTCTCGGAGATGGTGTGCGGTCAGTAACGCACAGAGATGGTGTGCGGTCAGTAACCCTCGGAGATGGTGTGCGGTCAGTAACGCACAGAGATAGTGTGAGGTCAGTAACGCACAGAGATGGTGTGCGGTCAGTAACCCTCGGAGATGGTGTGCGGTCAGTAACGCACAGAGATAGTGTGAGGTCAGTAACGCACGGAGATGGTGTGCGGTCAGTAACTCTCGGAGATGGTGTGCGGTCAGTAACTCTCGGAGATGGTGTGCGGTCAGTAACTCTCGGAGATGGTGTGCGGTCAGTAACGCACAGAGATGGTGTGCGGTCAGTAACTCTCGGAGATGGTGTGCGGTCAGTAACGCACAGAGATGGTGTGCGGTCAGTAACCCTCGGAGATGGTGTGCGGTCAGTAACGCACAGAGATAGTGTGAGGTCAGTAACGCACAGAGATGGTGTGCGGTCAGTAACTCGGAGATGGTGTGCGGTCAGTAACGCACAGAGATGGTGTGCGGTCAGTAACTCTCGGAGATGGTGTGCGGTCAGTAACGCACAGAGATGGTGTGCGGTCAGTAACCCTCGGAGATGGTGTGCGGTCAGTAACGCACAGAGATAGTGTGAGGTCAGTAACGCACAGAGATGGTGTGCGGTCAGTAACTCGGAGATGGTGTGCGGTCAGTAACTCGGAGATGGTGTGCGGTCAGTAACTCTCGGAGATGGTGTGCGGTCAGTAACTCTCGGAGATGGTGTGCGGTCAGTAACGCACAGAGATGGTGTGCGGTCAGTAACTCTCGGAGATGGTGTGCGGTCAGTAACGCACAGAGATGGTGTGCGGTCAGTAACCCTCGGAGATGGTGTGCGGTCAGTAACCCTCGGAGATGGTGTGCGGTCAGTAACGCACGGAGATGGTGTGCGGTCGGTAACGCACGGAGATGGTGTGCGGTCAGTAACGCACGGAGATGGTGTGCGGTCAGTAACTCGGAGATGGTGTGCGGTCAGTAACGCACGGAGATGGTGTGCGGCCTCAGAGCTGCTGACCGGCCGCGGGGCCTCCTGTCCCCGTGCTGCTGGCAGCGTCACCGCCAGGTGTCCCGCCGGATGCGCCCGTCAGGCCTGGTGCTGCTCAGAAGCCGCCTGAGACGCTCTCACCCCGCAGAGCTCTCTCCGGCCCTGGGTGCCTGCTTCCTGGCCTTTCCCGCCCTGTCAGGGCCTGGAGGGCAATTGGTTCGGAGGAGAGCCTGTGAGAATTAGTGTGGCTCCCACCAGGCCTCCGCGGGAGCAGCCCCGAGGCGGGCAGAGGCAGAGGCCGCCTCTGGGGTCACCCCGCCGCCTTCACAGCCTGCGAGGGCCCTTCCAGGGGGCGAGCCTGAGGCCCATTTTGCAGGGCGCTGGGGAACGCAGCGAAGCGAGGCCGGGGCTCCCAGCGGGCCACCCAGGAGCCGGAGGCAGAGCCGAGGCAGGCCTGGGCCCTGGGTTTCTGAGCGCCCGGGCTTGGACTCTTCCTCAGCATCCTGCTGAGCTCTCCCTCTGCTAGGGAGCCAGCCTCACACACCTGGCTCAGCTTCCTGGAGCCTGGCTGAGGGCTGGTTGCCATAGAGATGGGGGAGAGGACAGTTCCAAGGCTGGCAGAAGGGGGTGGGGGGCGGGGCAGGACACCAAGATGCTCAACACCCGCCAACAGTTGGTCAGGACCACAGCGGGGAGAGCTGGGCAGGACCCCAGGCTCCAGGCTCCGGGGATGGGCACGGGGCTGCTCAAGCTTCTGTCCGGCATCGACCAGGCTGAGCAGGTGAGGGAGGCCCATGGCGGACTGCCAACTGCCCAGGGCAGCCTGGCTCTCGGGGCCGGGGGAGGCCAGGGCTGAGGGAGGCCCGTGAGAAGCCATGGGACTGAGCTGAGGCCTCGGTGAGAGTCAGGAAGGCTCGAAGGAGGGAGGAGCCAGGGGGAGGCTTAGGAGGATGGGGGTGAAGCAGAGGCAGCTGCCCGTCCGTTTTAGGGGCCAGCCCAGGCCAGCCCAGGCGCAGAGAAGTGGCGGGCCCCCCGATGGAGGTGTGACGGGGTCTTCTCCCCTGTCTTGGCCCAGGGGCGGCCGGGGAGTGGGAATCGTGTCCTTTGGAGTCAGCGGCAGAGATGCCAGAGTGGAGGGGCAAAGAAGGACCGGAGGCCCAGAAGCTGGAACAGTAAAGGGCCCGGCTCTGCTGAGGCTGAGGAGTAAGCCCGGGGGGAGGGAGGGCTGGGAGGGATGCTGGTGTCAGGCCCGATGGAGGTCAGCGCTCTGCCCCTGACCTCCGCCCCCTGCCCTGTCCCTCCCCAGTCTCCTCCTCTCTGCTCCTCGGAAGCCCTCCTTCCCCTTCCAGTGGGCCTGGGAGAGCTACAGCGCCGACGGCCAGGCTCCCCCCCGGCCCGGCTCCCGCTCCGCCCCCGCGGCCCCGCAGCACAAGCTCGGCCGCAGGTGCCCGGACAGCTGCCTGGAGGCCCAGGACTTGTGCTGGCAGCTGACGGTGCGGAGCCCGGAGAGGGTCCGGCAGCTCAAGGCCTGGGACGTCTCCGTCCCTTCGGGCCACGGGGAGGGCCAGGAGCTGGAGCAGCCCCCCTGCAGGAAGCCAGGATCGGAATCGGAGGCCGAGGAGGAGGCCGAGGAGGAGGCGGAGGAGGAGGCCGAGGAGGCAGAGAGGAGCCTGCCCCAGCCTCCCAGGAGCAGGTCCATCTTGGAGGAGGAATGGTCGGAGTCAGAGGAGCCAGAGGAGGCTCCGGAGGCTCCGGAGGCCCAGGGGCACGAGCACAGGGCCCCCGGCCGACGGAGGGCCGGCTCTCGGAGGAAGGCGTGGCACTCCTGCGTGGAGGACTCCGAGGAGGGCGAAAGGAGCAATCCCGGCTCCAATGGCCCCCTCTGGCCGCAGCGGGGGAAGGCCAGGGCCACGGGGCTGGAAGGGATGTGGGACCTCGAGAAGTTGAAGCAGCAGTTGGAGCACAACTTGGAACTAGGTGAGCGTGGGGCTCAGCACCCAGGCTCCTGAGGAGGCGGCCCAGGGGAGAGGACGGGGCTCGGTGGCTGGGCCGGGCCCGGAGCTCAGGCAGGGCTGGCCTGCGCTCCAGGCGCTGGGGGGATGCCCGTTGGGCAGGAGAGGTCACTTCTCCCCCTGGGCCAGGCCTCAAAAAGCATCCCTGGAAGGCGTGGCGGATTGCTGTCCAAACCTGCCACCGCCCTGGGAGGGCCCAGGCCTCGGGGGAAGAGGGGACGCTGCTCGCCAGCTTCCCCACCCGCACCTTCCAGAAACGGCAGGAGGCCAACAGGTGAGGTGGAAGAGATGCTTCACCCTTCATCCTCTCACTCATCCCTCCATTTATCCACCCCCAGTCTTCTGATCATCCAATCATCTATGGATCCATCAATCCACCATCTCTGTCTGCTTGGCCAACTGCCTATTGACACAACCAACTTTTCATTCACTTCCAGTCTTCTATCCATCAATAATCAATCAACTAACTTATTTTTATTTTTAAAATATTTTTACTCTTTAAAAAAAATATATATAATTTTATGGATTTCAGAGAGGAATCGTGCTTCTTGATTGGGGAGAGCTAGAAATGTCAAAGATGAGAGAGAATCACTGATCAGCTGTCTCCTGCATGCCCCACATTGGGGATGGAGCCTGCAAACTAGGCATGTGACCTCCTGGTTCATAGGTCAATGCTCAACCTGGGTGGGCCATCAATAATTTATTAACAAAGTGATTAATGCAACACGTAGTGAGTATATACTCATGTGTCCTGAGGCCAGTGGTCGGCAAACTCATTAGTCCACAGAGCCAAATATCCACAGGCCAACGATTGAAATTTCTTTTGAGAGCCAAATGTTTCAAACTTAAACTTCTTTAACGCCACTTCTTCAAAATAGACTCGCCCAGGCCGTGGTATTTTGTGGAGGAGCCACCCTCAAGGGGCCAAAGAACCGCATGTGGCTCGAGAGCCGCAGTTTGCCGACCACGGCCTTAGGATATAAAGATAAAAACACTTGGTTCAGACCTAAGAAGCTCAAGGTCTGCTGGGAAAGGAGACAAATGGCCAAAGCAACAATAACGGCAGTGGAGTGAGATAACTGCTGTACTTGGGCTTGAACAAGAGATAACGGGGGGAGATGGGGGAGTGTGGGCGGGATGGAGGGCTGTTGGCATTGCCTAGGTGAGGGATGAGAAGGCCTGATCCAGGCGGCCATGGAATGGAGAGAGGAAGTCCACTGGAGGCTGGCTCCATGGGTCTTGGTGACCAGTTAGAAGTGGGAGGTGAGAATCCAGTCAGCATTCTGATAGCACCCTCAGTTCTCACCCCGTCCCCTCCTGCTCCAGATCCTTCCATGCTTCCCTGTGCCCTGGGGACAAAGCCCAGGCTCCTGGTAAGGAGGCTCTGTCGCCCAGGCCAGCCGGTCACAGCGGCTGGAAGGCCCATGCTCTCCCGCCTTCCTCAGCCGCCCAGCTAACTCAGAGGCATCTCTCAACTCCAGGGCCACTCCGGGGAGTTCTGCTCTGTGCTCGCCGCCATCACAGCTTCTGCCACAGCACCTGCCGGGGGCTGCCGGGCTGTCTGTCCCTGTGCCAGGTCTTATTGGTCACGGCCTTTCTGGTTCCCTCGTAGGACCTGAACCTATTGGTGCTCAATGAGTATGCGCTGACGGAGCAACTGCACCGCCCCGCCCCCTTCGTCTATCCGTCCATGACTCCATTATGTGTTGATTCACCAAGATTGAGTTTCTGTCTCTGTTAGGCATCTTCTAGCTGCCAGGGATGACTTGTTGGTGAATGTATCAAAATAGACAGGAAACCGAACCCACGAAGCTTACCTTTTGCTTGGAAAGAAGGATAATTAATAAAGAAATGAACAAGGTGGCCCTGACCAGTGTGGCTTGGTTAGCTGGGCATCGTCCTATGCACTGAAAGGTTGCCTGTCGGAGCACATGCCCAGGTTGCAGGTTCAAATCCTGGTAGGGGGCGTGCAGGGGGCAGTTGATTGATGTTGCTCTCCATTCATGTTACTCTCTAAAAAGCAATTAAAAACATTTACTATATATAAATATAATATTTATATATTATTTTATTATATATATAAATATTTATAAATAATATATATAAATATTTATATTACTTATAAATATTTATATATATTATTGAGGAAAGGAGAGAGATAGTTAGAAACATGGATCAGCTGCCTCCTGCACACCTCTCACTGGGGATGTGCCTGCCACCAAGGTACGTGCCCTTGACCAGAATCGAACCCGGGACCTTTCAGTCCTCAGGCTGATGCTCTATCCACTGAGACAAACTGGTTTCGGCTAAAAAAAAAAAAAAAAAAAAAAAAATCTTAAAAAATAAGAAATAAGACAAACAAGGTGTATAGCTAGAACTGGGAAATACCTGAGCGGTAGACGAGGTGGTCAGAGAGTCTTTTTTACCTGGCATCTGAGCAAAGACCTGATTGATAAGATGGGCTGAGAGCTGGGGGAAGAATGTTCCAGATCGATCTAGGTGCTGTCTATTCCACTATCCACATCACTCATCCATCCTCCATATATCCATTCACCGCATCCCCATTTCCTTTTTTCTATCCATTCACCCACCTGCCTGTCCTTCACATCAAAGTGCATCCCCTTAGCCCTGTGTTCCCCTCCCTGGCCCCGACCCTCTCTGAGCCTCCTGCTCCCGCGGCCTCCTCCCACCCTCTCCTTCCTCCGCCCCCAAGAAGCATGCTGCAGGCCTGGGAGCGGCGGCAGCAGGAGGAGCAGCAGCAGGCTGAGCAGCGGAGGGCCCGGGAGCAGCAGGTACAACATCAGGTGGCCCGCTGCCTGGCAACCTATGCGCCCAGGACTCAAGGGCTGGGGTCCGCCCAACGCAAGCTGGAGGAGCTAAGGTAGGGAGCTGGGCTGGGGGAGCGTGTGGGGACAGGGCAGAGGCAGTGCTGTGTCAGACAGGAGGACCCAGCGGGCCCAGCCTCACTGTCCTCAGAGCTGAGCCTGCGCTGCCATCCTCCAGCCGGCAGGCGGGAGGGCAGGCAGGCGGGCAGGCGGGCAGGCGGGCAGAGGCAGGCAGGCGGGCAGGCGGGCAGGCCGGCCACTTTGTGTAGCCAGTAGACAAAGACCATGAGGCTCCGGAGAAGGGGCTGGGCCAAGCTCACCCAATGAATAACAGTCTCTGAAGCTGTCAGATGCTCAGGTTAAATATCCCACATGCTTCTTCACACTTTCAAACCCTGCTTTTCTGATTTCATAAGCCAGGTGTGCTTCCTCTACCAACTCAGGTCTTACCCAATGGCGGGTGTGGGATGTGAACAGCACTATGCCCCTCCCACCTTCCCGGAGACCGCCATTGCTCAGGGGCCAGTGAGTTTGTTCTCTCCCTATGTTCTGACCATTTAAAAAGCCAATCCACAGCCCGGCTGGCGTGCCCAGTGGTTAAGCACCAACCTGTGAACCTGGAGGTCATGGTTTGATTCCCGGTCGGGGCACATGCCCGGGTTGTGGGCTCGTTCCCCAGTAGGGGGCATGCAGAAGGCAGCCGGTCAATGATTTTCCCTCATCATAGATGTTTCTATCTCTCCCTCTCCCTTCCTCTCGAAATCGATATAAACCTAATAATAAGAAAAACCAACCCACAAATGCACACTTAAAAAGCTCCTTTAGACTCACAGTAGGCCCAGGAGGCAGGGATTGTCACCACTCCTGCGGTTTTACACGCGGAAGCTGAGGCTCAGAGAGCTGCGGTCATCCTCCCAGGTGAGCTGCAGAGCCGGGGCTCCAACCCAGGCAGCCAGCTCGCCACCCAGCTGCCTGCCGGGGAGGGCCTTCCCCCAAAGCCCAACCCCGTGAGACAGGGAACTCTGCTCACAGGCGCCGTCCCACTGAGGGCCTACTGGCTGCAGCTGGCACAGGGCAGCCTTTCCATGCCTCACCTCCTTTCCTCCTGGCAGATGCCTTCTTGCCAGACCTTAAGTTCATTGTTTTGTGTGTTTTTTTACCCAGGCAGGAAGCGTAAGGTTTACACTGCACGGGGCACATGTCAGTGAGAGGATTTCAGACACGCAGCCTTCATTTCAAACTTGGGGGCAGTGTTTCCCACGGGGTCTCTCTGCCTCTGAACGTGGCTCTGAGCTGCCCTGGAGGCTGCCCTGCTCGGGAGGGCGGCACACATGGTCCCCTGCAGTGGGAGGCGATGTGCTTTCCTTGCATCCAGCGAGTGGAGCGGACACAAGTGGGTTTTGCACGTGGATGTGTGCTTCTCCAGTGGAGCCGTGGTGTTTCTGGAATGTGTTTTACTTGCAGCACCGTTGTTAGTCCCTCTGTCCCGTCTCCTAAGCTGGCTGCTTTTAAGAACCACAGCAAATGCCGGCAAGCTGGTGCAGCCGCCGCTGCAGCCGAGAGAAGAGCCCGGAGCCCAGCACAGGGCCTGGCCGCAGCCTCTGCTTCCCCCTCGCGGGGAGAGTGAGAAGCGCGGCGTGGGTGTCGGGAGGGGACAGACACCCAGATGCTCAGAGGCCACCACTGGCCCCTCTCCCCCGGGAGTGACTGGGAGGACGAGCGAGCCCGGGCTGCACAGCCCGGAGACAGTCTCTCACGTCCCCTGGGCCTCAGGGGGTCCTGGGTAAAACGGGGCAAATGCCAATTCCTACCCCCTGACCTCAGGAGGAACCCGGGCCGAGGAGGGGTGAGATGGCTCAGAAAGGGGAGGGATGAGTCCTCAGGGAAGACGGCGGCTCAGAAGTGGAGACGGGCTGTACCCATGGCCAGTGGCCCACACGCCCGTCTCCCGCAGGCGCCAGGAGCGGCAGCGCTTCGCTGAGTACCAGGCCGAGCTGCAGGGCATCCAGCACCGGGTGCAGGCCCGGCCCTTCCTGTTCCAGCAGGCCATGCAGGTGAGGCCTCCCCGGGAGCAAGCCTTTGCCGGCTGGGTGGGGAGGGAGGAGAGGCGGGGGTGGGCCCCTGGGAAGGGACCCCGGGCTGCTGCCCACCTGGAAGCCCTGGGGTCCCCTCAGGAATCAGAGCCCCACTTATTCTCATTCTCGGGCCCTGGTGCACAGCGGGACCCCCCCTCTCTCCCCGCAGACCAATGCCCGGCTCACGGCCGCCCGGCGCTTCTCCCAGGTGCTGTCGGCGCTGGGGCTGGATGAGGAGCAGCTGCTGGCGGAGGCCAGGAAGGGGGATGCCAAGGGCACTTCCCGGAAGCCCAGGTGAGGCCAGCTAGCTGGCCGCGGACCTGGCTCTGCCCGGCTGTGAGGGGTGCATGGCCAGCACTCCGGGCCCTGCAGTGTCTCCTCAGCCCCCTCCATCCTGTGCTGCCAGTCTGGGGAAGGGTGAGGGGACTCTGTGGGCAGCCACATTGATCCGCCCCGAATCTCAGCTTCAGTCCTGCCCCGTCTCCCCTCCCTCTCCTTTCCATGACCTGGAAGACTCTGCCACTCTAGCTGCCAGCAGGCTCCCCAGGCTCTGTCCTCCATGCCCCCAGAGGAAGGTGAGGCCAGGCTGAGGGGCAGGGTTTTTCCCAAGGAGCGAAGAAGCAGAGAGCCAGGCTGGGGACCTGTGCCCGTCTGGAGGCCACGCACCAGCCTCCGTGGTGGGCTGGAGCCGGCCAGCCTCCCACACGTGCTGCCCCTTAGCCGTCAGAGCCTGAGCAGAGCAGGGCTCGGGGCGAGTTCACGAGGAGGGAGCTGAGGCTTGGAGAGTCACTTCCTCAGGGTCACTCAGCACAGGGGCCGGATGTGAACCTGGGTCATCGGCCACAATGGCCCTTCCCGTCCCACAGCCCACGGGGGCCTTGGGTGCAGGGCTGGGGGCTGCAGAGCCCGGGGCCTCTATGTTTGTCTTCGCCTTGAAGGAGCCAACGACCAGCAGGGGAGAGAATGGAGCACTCTTCTCAGAGCACCCCCGAGACGGGAACCGCGGGCCGCCAGTCTGAGAGGCACTGCACCCAAGCCTGGACTGGGGAGCCAGTCCCTTAGACACAAATTAAAGGCTTAATGGAACATACAGTGCGGGACTTCCTTTTGTTGTAAAAAATATGCTTTTATTGATTTTTAGAGAGGAAGGGACAGAAACATTGATGTGAGTGAAACACATGCTTGCCCCCAAACTGGGGACCGTGCCCACAACCCAGGCATGTGCCCTGACCAGGAATCCCAGGAATACAATCAACGACCTCTTGGTACATGGGTTGACCCTCAACCACAGGGCCAGACCGGATGGGCCAGTGTGGGGTTTGAGGTGATGGAGGGAACAGGGTGCTGGTTGGGAGGAGGTGGCAGGTGGACAGGTAGCAGGTTTAGCTTGTCGGCTCACCCACCCCCTGTCCCAGCTTCACAGCCTGCGTGTGCTCCTGAGGAGGGGGCATTTACAGAGCATCGGCTGCGACCCTCACTCCTCTCTCCAGCATGTGTGCTGGTCCTAGAAATTCAGAGTGAATAGGACAGGAGGGCCTCTACCTCTGAGAAATCCCGGTCCCTTTGAAGGGCGCACATGTCACACCACAGCAGATGGAGCACGCAGGGGCCACCAGAGGGAGCACACACACACACACACACACACACACACACACACGCACACACAATGTGCTGAATTTTACACCCAATTCCAGGGGGTCCACAGACACAGCTTCTTAGCAGTTCACAAAACACCCGGCCCAGATGAGAGGGCCTCTCCCCAGAGGGCGGAAAGGCAGCATTTGCTGACAGAACTGTTTGGAGGACTCGGAGGCTGGGCTGTGGAACTCGGGTTCTCGAGGAGAGCATGCTGGTCAAACAGGAATTTTAGGGGTAAAATAAGGCAGGTTTAGGAAATTTTAGAAACTTTGGGAATTAAGGGGACTGTGGAGGAAGCACGAGGCTGCAGAGCCGCAGGTATATTTCCATAGAACAGGAAAGCTGAAAAGCTGCAACCAGTACATTTCCACAGAACGAGGGAGCTGGGAACAACAAAAGGTCTATATTTACCAAATAAAGGAATCCTTCATCCAGAAGAAGAAAGCAGAGGGAACAGGAAATAAAGGGGGGGGGGGTGTGTCTGTGCAGAAAACTTCACTTGTCCCAGGTGAGGTTCGACCTTTGAGCCCAGGAGTTACTATAGTAACCAGTCGAAGGGAATAGTGACCAATCAGAGGGGATATAAGGCACCAGGCTCTGCAGCCTTTATAAGCCAGAGGGAAAAGGAACTCGGTGAGACCCTTTCCCCCTCCTCAGGTGGCAGTCCATTCTGCGGGACTGGCTCTTCCCCCTCTCCACGTAGGAATCTGTACTTGTTCCTCAATAAACCTCCACCTTTGCTATACTACTCTCTGTCCGTGGATTCACTTTTCGACACCGGCGGACAAAGGATCCGGGTTCCAGTCCAAAAATTCCGTTTCACTCGGTCGTCCAGCGCCCGAAGGAGGCACGATCCCAGGGAGTCCATGGGCAGGACGTCTCGCTGGAGCGGCGGGAGCTGTCCGAGGAACGTCTGTGCGGGAGCGCGCGTCCCGGGGCTGGGGGTGCAGGCGGAGCGAGGCCGGGAGACGCCGAGAGCTCTGGGATGCCCTCTGGGTCCCTGCAGTCGGGGGACCTACAACCCCCAAAACCACGTCCGGATCCGCGCACCTGAAGCAGCGCACGCGCAGACGGACCACCCGCTCCCAGCCCTCCACCAGCCCGAGGCCGCCGCGCCTGCGCATTGGGCTCCGACCCCGGCTTTCCCATGAGCCTCTGGGGCACGCTCAGAGCGAACTGCGGAAGCAGCCGCTCTTGGTTTCCGGCAACACGAAGGCGGCCGCGGGCGACCCGGAAGTGTTCCCATTTTGCCTCTTCGGGGTTCGGTGGCGGGCCGGGCTCGGGCCTGACGTGCCGCCATGGGGTCGTCCAAGAAGCACCGCGGGGAGAAGGAGGCGGCCGGGACCACGGCGGCGGCCGGCACCGGGGGCGCCGCCGAGCAGCCGCCGCGCCACCGAGAGCACAAGAAGCACAAGCACCGGAGCGGCGGCAGCGGCGGCGGCAGCGGCGGCGAACGGCGGAAGCGGAGCCGGGAACGGGGGGCCGAGCGCGGGGGCGGGCGGCGCGGGTCCGAGACGGAGGCCCGCAGCGGCGCGCACGGGCGGGAGCGCAGCCAGGCCGAGCCCTCCGAGCGGCGCGTGAAGCGGGAGAAGCGGGACGATGGCTACGAGGCCGGTGAGGGCGGGGCCGGCGCGGGGCGGGGGGCGGGGGCCCGGGGGCCCGGGTTTGAAGGCAGGGCCAGCACTCCAGGCGGAGGCATCCGTGGGCTGTCTTGGTCAGACTTGTTAAAAGGTCTTCTTAAGGGAGTTTGGGGTTAACGGTCGTCTCCCTCTAGTAGACTCTGAGGACAGAAACTTTGTTTGCAATGGCGCATCACAGGCCTTCCGTGAATTGAATGGGTGAATGGATGGATGGATGGATGAATGAATGAACAATGAATGAATGAGGTGGTACCAGCGTGTACAGAGGCAAGAGAAAATCTGGCATTGGGCAGGCGAATCGGGGAGGGCTCGCAGCAGCGAGAGAGGCTGTGATACAGGCGAGGCTCCAAACCGAAGGGCCCCGCAGGTCCTGAGGGTCGTAGAGAGCCATGGTTTGATTTGGGAAGTGAGTTGGTCCTATTCATGCTTTGCGGCGATCACTGCATTGAGAACTCGGTCAGGGTTAGTCAGCCGGGGCCAGGTGTGGCCCACACCGAGGCAGCAGCAGTGGGACGCAGAGGCTTGGACAGATGGACAGGTTGTTTGGAAATGGAATTAACACGCTTCAGTGAGGGTGGGAGGGAAAGAAGGAACTGAGGACGAGTGGAGTTTTGTCTTGGGAAGCTGGGTGGGCGGTGGTGTCATCCACCGCAGTTGAGGAGTTTGGGAGAGAAGCGGACTTTGGGAACAAGATAACGAATTCCGTTTTGGAGAGTGTTGCGTTTGATGCCGATGGGAGAAACCTGTAGAAAAACCCAGGGCTTGGGGTGGGTAGAGCAATTTGGGAGAGAGGAGCGTTTAGGTGGCCAATGAAGTCCTCTGAGGGAGTGGGGCGTGAGAAGCCAGGGTCAGGAGTAGAGCCTGAGAAATGCTAATATTTTAGTAGTCGGTGGAGCCAAACACTACAGAAAAGAGGTAGAATAGCCCAGAAGGAAAATAATAGAACATGGGATCTGTGTGGGAAGCGGATTAGAAGGAAATGATCAGGTGCCACACGTCATAGGAGATCAAGCCAAACCAGGAAAAGGATCCATGGGGTTTCGAAAGAAGGGGCTGGTGGCCGTGAGGAGAGTCGGAGTGGTTGACACCCAGGGTCCAGGTGGGATAAGAAGGCAGGTTGTGGGGTGGGAATGCAGGAAAGCTGAGCGTGTGGAGGCAGCTGGGTGAGGGCGCTCTGTGTGAGGGTGTCTGGCTTCTGTGTGTGGTCGGTGAAGTTGTTTGCTGCTTGTGAGGTGGCTGGGGGAGGTTTGAAATGCATCGTTAGCTCTGTGTTCCCAACATCCCGCGCAGCGCAGGCACCACCAAGTCCGTGTCTTGCTACACGAGTTGCAGAGGACACGGTTGGCACCACCACAGCCCCTGCCCTGTGAGGAGTTTGGGGAGAGCAGTTCATTCAGATCAGAAATTGAACTGGACTTTATGGAGGTGGCATTGTCAGCTAGTGAGGCCACAGCGGGCAAGATGGGCTGGAAACAGCATGCTGGAAACAGCATGCAGAAAAGGGAAGGGGCAGCAAAGAGGACTGCAGAAAGCTGGCCATTTGGGGTCAAGAAGGGCAGGGATGTAGAAGAGGCGGTTCTCAGAGATGGGAACGCGAACAGGAGGAGTTCCTGTAGTTGGAGAATGCGCTGTCCTCGTGTCTCCGCCAGGCTGGTGCTGGGGAGGGCCTGGTCTTTGGCTGCAGCTGGGGCCGAAGACATGGCTCCCTGGCTTTTGTTCAGCTCCTGAGCCCTGCTTCTTGTTGTTCCAGCTGCCAGTTCCAAAACGAGCTCCGGAGATGCCTCGTCCCTCAGCATCGAGGAGACCAAGTAAGTACCGTCTCCTTCGTGCCCACTCTCTGCTTCTGGATCAGGTGGGTCTGGAGCAGCTGCTTTCGGAGGCTTCCATACCCTCATGCGTTCGGGCTGGAATTGGAGGTGCCACCTAAGTCAGTCAGCAGCCACGTGAGCCATAGAGGAGGCACTGAGCCCGAGAGGAAGGGTGGTGCTCCACTGGTTAGGGCAGGCCTGGCCCAGTGCCCCTGCTCCCTGGTTTGGAGGGCAGTGCCCTTCCCAGTGCCCTGGGACTCAGGACATTCAGGCCCATCCTGTTTCACCCCCTCTGCCTAGAAATGCACGTGGTGCCCATTGTTGGACAGCTCCTAATACATTCATCTCGTTCTCAGTAAACTCCGGGCAAAGCTGGGGCTGAAACCCTTGGAAGTCAATGCCGTCAAGAAGGGTGAGTGTGAGGCTGCGGCTGGTGGTGAAGGAGGGCATTGGATGGAGGCACGTGGGGTGGGGCGCAGGTTCAGTACCAGTTAGTGGTCTTGTGGGTGTGTACTTGCTGATAGGCGTGGGACTCAGCTTATCTTTTCCCCCTTCCTTCCTTCCTTCTTTCCTTCCTTCCTTCCTTCCTTCCTTCATTCCTTCCTTCCTTCCTTCATTCCTTCCTTCCTTCCTTCCTTCCTTCTTTCCTTCCATCCTTCCATCTATCCTCCCTTTCTTCCTTAGTTTAAAGTAAAAGAGAGTTTATCAGTGAAACAGTGAGACTGAGAGTGGCTGCTCCACAGACGGGCTCAGCTTGTTTATGTTTGAACAGTTGGCGCTGCCCCTCACTCTGCCGTGAGGCAGCATTTCCGGACTATGCGCTGAGAGATGTGCACAGTTGCTACAAACTGATTGGGGTGTTGGGTCTTTTTAAGCATGACTTGCGGGGCTTCGGAAGGCACGGAGGGTCCGTCATGCTGCGTGGGTGACACGGGAGTGTGGGGCTAAGGGAAGGTCCTTCCCCTCTCCGGGCCCCTTCCTGCGCCTGAGCTGGAAGGGCAGGGTGAGTGGCTCCCTCCTCTCCCACCAGTCATGGGCAGGCATAGCCTCACGTCTGGGCCCCCCTTCCAGAGGCGGGCACCAAGGAGGAGCCCGTGGCAGCCGACATCATCAACCCCATGGCCCTGCGGCAGCGAGAGGAGCTGCGAGAAAAGCTGGCGGCGGCCAAGGAGAAGCGCCTCCTGAACCAGAAGCTGGGGTAAGGGGCCCGGCCAGGGCGGGCACGGCCAGGGCTGAGGAGCTGCCAAGGAGCCCTGCAGAGGTTGGGGGAGCGGGAGCTGGGCTCCCAAAAGGTCCCCTTTTCCTCAGGAAGATAAAGACTCTGGGGGAGGACGACCCCTGGCTGGATGACACCGCCGCCTGGATCGAGAGGAGCCGGCAGCTGCAGAAGGAGAAGGACTTGGCAGAGAAGAGGGTGAGGCCCTGGGCAGCTGGGGGTAGGTGCCCGGTGCCTCTGGTGGCCTGACCAGCTGGTGAGGCAGGAGCTGGCCCTGGGAGGTGAGGCTGGGCTCAGAGAGGTAGCAGGTTTATGGTCCCTGGAGTCTGTTTTGCTTCTCGGTGGCTTGCCTGCCTGTTTGCACTCCACCTGATAAAGCTGTGGGTCTCCTGGTGACTCTGGATGGCTGAGGTCATAGGTGCCCCTACCCTCCCCCCCCCCCCCCCCCCCGTCCTCTAGGCCAAGCTGCTGGAGGAGATGGACCAGGAGTTTGGAGTGAGCACTCTGGTGGAGGAGGAGTTCGGGCAGAGGCGGCAGGTGAGGCTGCTGCGGCACCGCTGTCCTTGGTGCTGGGATCCCCGGTGGGAGGGTCAGGGCTCCTGACTCAGCGGGGCTTCCCCCTCCTTCCAGGCCCTGTACAGCGCCCGGGACCTGCAGGGCCTCACGGTGGAGCACGCCATTGACTCCTTCCAAGAGGGGCAGACCATGATCCTCACCCTGAAGGACAAAGGTGGGTTGGCTGGGTCTCTGGCTGGGGACACAGGCACCGCTGACTGAGGGCACGTGCGAGTGGCCTCTGCCTGTCCGCAGGCGTGCTGCAGGAGGAGGAAGACGTGCTGGTGAACGTGAACCTGGTGGACAAGGAGCGGGCCGAGAAGAACGTGGAGCTGCGGAAGAAGAAGCCCGACTACCTGCCCTACGCAGAGGACGAGAGTGTGGACGACCTGGCGCAGGCAGGCGGGCAGCAGGGGCGGGGGCCTGGCCGGGGGGGTCTGGGAACGGTGGCCCTGTGGCTCTTCAGGAGCCAGCTGGTCCCAGCCCATACCTCCTGCCTTGCAGCAAAAGCCCCGCTCTATCCTGGCCAAGTACGACGAGGAGCTGGAGGGCGAGCGGCCGCACTCCTTCCGCCTGGAGCAGGGCGGCACCGCGGACGGCCTGCGGGAGCGGGAGCTGGAGGAGATCCGCACCCGGCTGCGGCTGCAGGCTCAGTCGCTGAGCATGGTGGGGCCGCGGCTCGCCTCCGAGTACCTCACGCCGGAGGAGATGGTGAGCCCTCCGCTGCTGCCCACGCTTGTCCCCGGGCCACAGTGAGCTACGGAGGGGGTTAGCTTCCAGGGTGCCCGGTCCTTACGGAGGAGCAGTGATTGGCAGCCCAGGGAGGTGCCAGGGAAGTGAGGGGTGAGGCCAGAACGGGGACTGCCTTTATGTCCAGGCTCCGCCCGTGGCCAGCTGGGCCTTGGGGGAGCCATTCAGCTGAGTCTGAGGCAGCTGGTGGGAGGGTAGGAGCCACCCCTAAGGGCTGTAGCAGGGTGAGCGGTAATCTGGCGAGTGGTCCTGTGACAGCTGTGTGTGGAGTTTTACTGTGATGACTGAACACGGAGGTCCTCAGCTGGCTCAGTCATTGCATGGCGGACGGACTGAGAGCAGGACTCAGGGCCACCTCACCAGGACTCACAACCCCAGTCTCCTTAGTCGTTGGGTGACCTTGGGCAAGGTGCTTACCCTGTGCCCGTTCTCATCTCAGTGGTGGGATGACCCACGCACCTCCCGTCTGTGTAAAATGTGTTCATTCTCGTGGGCTGTGGCTGCCCGTTTCCCCCCCTTCCTCCTTCATGTCTCTTCCCCCTCCCCCTCAGGTGACCTTTAAGAAGACCAAGCGGAAGGTGAAGAAGATCCGGAAGAAGGAGAAGGAGACGGTTGTGCGGGCTGACGACTTGCTGCCTCTTGGGGACCAGACTCAGGATGGGGACTTTGGCTCCAGGTGCGCTGGGTGCGGTGGGTACGAGGGCGGGCTGACCTGGGCTGATGCTCACGGAGAGGTCTCTCCCCCAGACTTCGGGGCCGGGGCCGGCGCCGTGTGCCCGAGGGAGAGGAGGCGGCCCCGGAGGAGGAGGAGGAGAAGGAGGCTGTGCCCCAGCCCCCACCATCAGATGACACTCGAGTGGAGAACATGGATATCAGTGATGAGGGTGAGGGGACCCAGCTTGCTGAGGGTGGACGGGCAGGAAAAGGCCGAGGGTCCCAGGGGATGATCCGAACAGGCACCTCCTGTTCTGTCTGCAGAGGAGGGCGGGCCGCCGCCTGGGTCCCCAGAGCTGCTGGAGGAGGACGAGGCGGAGCTGGAGCTGCAGAAGCAGCTGGAGAAGGGCCGCCGGTTGCGGCAGCTGCAGCAGCTGCACCAGCTGCGAGACAGCGGCGAGAAGGTGAGGGGCCCGCCCTCAGGGCCGCATGCGGGTCAGGAGGGTGTGGCCTCCGCAGGACAGAGCAGCCGGTGGCCTGTGACGGCCTGGGCCCTGTGGGCTGCCCCTGAATTCCAGTTTTGTATTGATTTCAGAGAGGGAGGGGAGGAGGGAGGGAGAAAGAGAACACCCATGATGAAAGAGAATCATTGCTCTGTTGCCTGCTGCACACCCCACACTGGGGACTGAGCCTGCAACCCAGGCCTGTGCCCTGACCAGGAATCGAACCGTGATCTCGTGGTTCATAGGTTGATGCTCAATCACTGAGCCATGCAGGCTGGGCCTGAATTCCAATCTTGGTTTACCTTTTTGTTTAATACCATAGTATTTGTAGATTTTTAGATTTCTGCAGTGTTTTCACTGTATGGTGTTTTAGGGTCAGACCCTCCCCTGTCTTCTGTAAATACAGGTTTCATCCTCCTGTGGGTAAGGCTGCCCCCTAGTGGCTGGAGGGCACTGGTGAGCAGGCAGCCCAGGGGCCCTGTGCTCACGATCTGACTTGTCTTAACTGGGAGCTGGGGTTTGAGGATGTTTTCAAGGAGGGGAGACCCATAATCCTGTGCGCTGGTGGCAGTGACACATAGAGAGGACAGTGGGCGCAGCTGGGGGATAACGTCGGGGCAGAGCTTTGAGGGCCTCGGTGCCATGCCAGGCAGGAGGGTGGCCTGAGGCAGGAGCAGGGCGTGGCTCCGGGGGCCACGGAGGCTTTTGGATGTTGATTCAGAGGCAGTAGGGAGCCGGCAATGGTTTTGGGGCAGGTGCAGGCGGAGAGGGCAGGAGTCGGGGAGGACATGGAGACCTCACAGGTGTGCTGCCGGCAGTGGGAATGGCTGTCTTGCTGCCACCAGGAGGGTCGTGGGCTCCTGGTCTCAATGGCACCGCCCCAGAAACTTCCGGGTATGCCCACAGCTGCTCCCTCCTCCAGGTGGTGGAGATTGTGAAGAAGCTGGAGTCCCGCCAGCGGGGCTGGGAGGAGGACGAGGACCCGGAGCGGAAGGGGACCATCGTGTTCAACGCCACGTCGGAGTTCTGCCGCACCCTGGGGGAGATCCCCACCTACGGGCTGGCCGGCAACCGCGGGGAGCAGGAGGAGCTCATGGTGAGCCCTGCGGGCCGCTCCCCTGCGGGCCCAGCCGTCCTCGCCGCGGGCTGTGAGTGGGCAGGCTGCCTGGGCTGACGCCACCTTCTGTCCTCCAGGACTTCGACCGGGACGAGGAGCGCTCGGCCAACGGAGGCTCCGAGTCTGACGGGGAGGAGAACATTGGCTGGAGCACAGTCAACCTGGATGAGGAGAAGCAGCATCAGGATGTGAGTGAGGGAGGACACGCTGGGGGCTGGGAGGATGGAAGGGCAGGGACCGCAGCGCGTGGGGTTGGGGGTGGGCTGGAGGCAGACCCCCTGGGCTCCAGCCCCAGCTCTGAGGCCCAGGGCTGGTCACTCAGGGTCTCCCGGCCTTCGTCTCCTCCCCCATGAGGGGTCCACAGATCTCACGGGTGTGGGGGACTTCGGGTGAGGGGTGAGAAGCTCATGTGGTCACTCACCACCGTGTGCCACCCCAGTTCTCCGCCGCCTCCACCACCATCCTGGACGAGGAGCCCATAGTGAACAGAGGGCTGGCGGCCGCGCTGCTCCTGTGTCAGAACAAAGGTAAGCGCTCGGGCGCCAGTGCCTGCATGGCTCCCTGGCCCCCTGAAGTCTCCTGTCCCAACGCTCTGAGCCACACCCGGACCATGAGCCACTCCTTTGGCACTTGGTTGTGGGACAGTCGTTGGAATGTCTACATCACCCCATTTATTATTATTTTTTGGTTAATCTTCACCTGAGGATATTTTTCCATGGATTTTTAGAGAGAGTGGAAGGGAGGGGGGGAGAGAGAGAGAAACATTGATGTGAGAGAGACACATTGATTGGTTGTCTCCTGCATGCGCCATGACCAGGGCTGGGGATTGAGCCTGCAACCAAGGTGCATGTCCTTGACCAGAATCAAACCTGGACCCTCTATTTTGGGCTGATGCTCTATCCACTGAGCCATACCAGCTAGGGCTACATCACCCCATTTTTTATTTATCTATTTATTTTTTTACATCACCCCATTTTTGATGGCTGAGTGCCCATGTCCCTCTACAAAGCACCACTTATCCCTCAAGACTCAGTGTTTCCTGAGGAAGAAAGGGGACTGGAAGCCCACAGTCTCTGGCACTGGGGTCCCGGCTCTGCCATTTACTCAGTGACCTTGGACAAGGGCCTCTTTCTCTGAGTCTCTCTCCTCTGTCCGACGCCTTTACCCCCACAGCACGGCTGTGGGTCCCACAGCGCCCTGTGCACTGGGGACATCAGCCCGCCCTGGGCTGCGCCTGGAGTCTCACCCCTTCTCCCCAGGACTGCTGGAGACGACGGTGCAGAAGGTGGCCCGGGTCAAGGCGCCCAACAAGTCCCTGCCGTCCGCGGTGTACTGCATTGAGGACAAGATGTGAGCGAGGCAGGGTGGGCAGAGGCCGGGCTGGCCAGGCTCGGGGCTGCAGGAACGGGCAGGGTGGGCGGTGGCTGGCCCTGAGCCCCCGTCTCTGCCAGGGCCATCGAGGACAAGTACAGCCGGCGGGAGGAGTACCGCGGCTTCACCCAGGACTTCAAGGAGAAGGACGGCTACAAGCCTGACGTGAAGATCGAGTATGTGGACGAGACGGGCCGGAAGCTCACGCCCAAGGAGGTGAGGCCTCTGGACCGGTGACACTGGCCGGCCTGGAGACGGTCTGAACCTCTGTGCCTGTCTCTGGTGGGCATCGCAGCCCCCCAGGCCCGGCAGGAGGCGGGACGGGCCTTGGCTCCGTTGCTCACCTGCCCCTCGGAGGCGTGATGTGCCTCAGGCCGCCATCTGGTGGCAGTGTCAGGCCCTGGGCGGCCCTGTGCTCTCCCAGACACCCAGCTTCTCCTGGCAGCCTTGTCCACCCTCACCCAGCATCTGCTTACACTCCATCCTGTGTCCTGGCCCGGCCTCGGCCCAGCAGGTGTCACTGGGGTCCTGAGGCCCCAGCGCAGCACAGCCTTCTGAGCCGTTTCCCCTCCCTCCCCTGCCCACCGCCCTCTTCGCCTCTAACGTGCTTCCTGCCGTGCCCCAGGCCTTCCGCCAGCTGTCCCACCGCTTCCATGGCAAAGGCTCGGGCAAGATGAAGACCGAGCGGAGGATGAAGAAGCTGGACGAGGAGGCGGTAGGTGGCCCCGGGGCGCTTGGGGGCGGCCTTCTGTCTGCGGGTTCCGGGGTGGCCGGTGGGCCGGGCTCCCTCCTGGTGCTGACCGGCCGTGACCCCACAGCTGCTGAAGAAGATGAGCTCCAGCGACACGCCGTTGGGCACGGTGGCCCTGCTCCAGGAGAAGCAGAAGGCCCAGAAGACGCCCTACATCGTGCTCAGTGGCAGCGGCAAGAGCATGAACGCGTGAGTGGCCGGGGCCACGGCTGGGCGGGGGGCGGGGAGGGCCTGGGGCCGAGCTCCAGCCTCACGCCCTCCTTCTCTCTACAGGAACACCATCACCAAGTGAAGCTGACCTCCCCAGCCCCTCTCCCACTTTAATATTAAATAAAACTCCCTCCTTATTTTTTCCTCCCTCGTCATGGTGCAGATTCCAGGTTAGACCTGAGAGGAGAGGCAGGCGGTGCTGGGAGGAGCATTGACACCACCTCAGGCAGGCTCCGTGGTCAGCTCTGTGACCTCAGGCAAGTCACCGAACCTCTCTGAGCCTTAGTTCCGCCATTTGTATCGGATGTCCTGTGAAAATTAAACGAGCTCATTCACTTATTCACCTGGAAATCAGAAATGAGCAAGACCCCTCTGGTTGGCCTCTAGTAAGTGAGACGTGGTCTCAGATGACACGAATAAGGAAACACATAGACAAAACTAACCTGGACCTCCAAGACAGTCCACTCCTGCCCTGGGCCCCAGCCCCTCCCCCCACTGCCCCTGCTGAGGCAGCACAGCTCCTGACCCCATTGTCCGTCAGGCCTACCCTCTGCGAGGCTGGCTTTCCAGTCAGAGATGGAGGATGTTTGAAACTCAGCGTCCAGTGCCACACGAGTCACTGCCCTCCAGGGCCCAGGACTGCCCGCCTGGCAGGGCGGGGACGGCCGTGCGCAGGGTCGAGGGGCCACCCCATGGTCCTTGACCCCCGGGGTCTGTGGAGAAGAGGGTGCTGAGGGCAGCTCCTCAGAGCGCCTCCCAGCCGTGCGGGGACCAGCCGCAGCGGGAAGACGAGCCCTGAGTGACCTCGGAAGGAGGCTGAGCACTCTGCGGACCCCGGAGCCTGGAAGAGGGGAGCGGTCAAGAGGCTCCCACGGGAGCTGGACAGAAACAGCGTCCTGCTTCCACCCGGTGCCCAAATACATTCCAGATGGTTCGTGGTTTTTAAAAAATGGAAAAAATACAGGAGCAAAAGGTGAATTTTTATAAATAATTTGAGTTGAAAAACAAGCAAAGAAAATACAGTTGCCTTAACCAATTGCTTTCGACTGTTTGATGGCACCAGCAGTCACTTCCTCCTGTGCTGAGTCTGGTCTGATGTGATTCTGGCTGCGTCCTCGGGTCCCTCGGGCGGTGTCCATGGGGTGTCTGGACTGGGTGTAGGGTTTGGGGGATCTCAGGCTATTTCTCCCAAAAGCCGGAGGCCCATCTGGTGTTGGCAGGCAGTCCAGTGTCTCTGGCCCTGGCTAAGCTTGCGTCAAACCTCGTGCTTTATCTGCTGCAGGAAGAGGCCTGTCGGAGCCGGAAACGTCGACAACAATGGACTGGGGTAGACTGACCAGGTTTGGCCCAGAATTCCTCTTATTCTGATGCTAGTGACTGGGTAGACAATGAATGGTGAGCCAGGAACTTGGAAGGTCTTTCAGAGGCTGAGGTTTTTATTCCTCCTAATAATAAACTCACTGTTTTAATTTGTACATTACTGTGATGAGGACACAAAACGTTATTCTCGTATTATTTATTAATTGCATTGTTTTCCATACAAACAACTAATGTACCAAGAAGCCTCCATGGCTGGTACCACCTGCCTGCGTCCTTTCTGTCCTGTGGCTGCTGACGCCAGGCCAGGTGCTGGCCCTCCCGAGCCCGGAGGCGGCTGACGCCTGCCTGCCTCAGCCAGTCCGCTCAGCCCCTCGGAGGCAGGACGTCAGGGACCACTGAATCCTTGGAGGTCTGAGCCCCCAGGGAGGGTGCACGCAGCTCTGCTGCTCGGGTGGGGCCCCACCAGCCCCCCTCCCCTAACTCCTGGGAACCCCATGGGGCAGCAATGCCTCCAAGTAGGTTGGTGTGAGGGTCAGCGAACTCAGCTGGGGCCCGGGGCGAACCAGCTGGGTGATTTCCACTTACTCTGTTACCCCGGGCAGTGGAGTCTTGGTGTTATCTGCAAAATGGGGGGGTGTGACCTCAGACTTCTGGGGCTGTTACCTAGCGTAGTTGAGAACATCCTTTCATTACTTCAGTAAACACATACATGTGTGTATTACCATATATACACAAATAGAAGGGTGTCTGGGATCTGGGAGTTACTTTAAGTTACTCTAATGTTAAAAAATATCAAGAAATATGGGGCCTAACCGGTGTGGTTCAGTGGTTAGAGCATCGGCCTGCGGACTGAAGGGTCCCAGGTTCAGTTCTGGTTAAGGGCATGTACCTTGGTTGTGGGCACATCCCCAGTAGGGGGTGTGCAGGAGGCAGCTGGTCAATGTTTCTCATCGATGTTTCTAACTATTCCCCCTCCCTCTCTATAAAAAATCAAATTATAAAAAAAGGAACCTTCATTTAAAAGAAATATGGGGAGAGGGGACTAGCAAGATGTTGATAGTTATTGAAGATGGTAATGGCCACAACGGGTTCATTACCCCATTATGAGAGTTAAAATTTCCATTATAAAACTTTGTTTCAAGAGAGCTAAAACATGTTGGCTTAGCAACAGAAATATGTACATATGTTCAGCCAAAGACACAAACAAGAATGTTCAGAACAGGACTATTTATAACTGTCCAAACTGGCAACCCAAATGTCCATCAACAGTAGAGGAATAAGTGGTGGATATTCAGATGTAGACTTTTTAAGAACCACCCCCAATTAGCATCATCATTCATGAACTTGCTCCTTGTTCCTTCTTGCTCTTCAGATCTCTCCTCGGGGGTCCTTTTCCTTCTTCCTGAAGTTCACCTTCCGTCAAACAGACAAACTCCCACCTGCCACCGGCCTGAGTGTCTTCGCCTTGGCATAGGACGGGGCGGCTGGCCTCGCTCACAGGGCCGTGGTGAGACTCACAGTGGCTCCCCTCGGCCATTTCTCAGGCTCGAACACCCTAGGAAGATGGAGCTGGCCTCACCGAGGGCCTCCGCTCTAGCAGGCTGGGTCCCAGCCAGTCCGGCAACACCCCTTCCCTGACTCTTGAGACACCAGCTCCTGCCATCAGGCGATTCTGGTCCCAAAATCCCTTAGCGTGGCATTCCAGGCCCCGTACCTTCTAGTCTGTTTTTAAAATATATATTTTTATTTTTTTTACAGAGAGGGATAGAGTTAGAAACATCTATCAGCTGCCTCTTGCACACCCCCTACTTGGGATGTGCCCGCAACCGAGGTACATGCCCTTGACTGGAATCGAACCTGGGACCTTTCAGTCCGCAGACTGACACTCTGTCCATTGAGCCAAACCAGTTTTGGCTCTTCTAATCTTAACAAACCACATGACCTTCCCTCCCTCGGACCCCTGGCCTTTGTCCTCTGGGCAGCTGCTCTAGAGGACACCTAGAGAAGCCAGTTTCCCTTGGTACCAATATATGCAGTCTTGGGGAGCAGGAAAGAGACTGGAGGGGTCCCCCAAAAGTGTGTCAGCTGTGGACAGAAAGGGGGACCAAAAAAGGGGAGGACCTCACTACTGAGGCCTCCTCTCACAAAGCTACCATGGTCACAGGTAATACATAGGATTGATAAGACACCCTGATCGCCAAAATGCTAAATTATGGGACCTGCATGAAAGAGGAAGGCACTTAAAAGTTCACAGACGAGCCGAAACCGGTTTGGCTCAGTCTGCAGACTGAAGAGTCCCAGGTTCGATTCTGGTCAAGGGCATGTACATTGGTTGCAGGTACATCCCCGGTGGGGGGTGTGCAAGAGGCGGCTGGTCGATGTTTCTCTCATCGACGTTTCTAACTCCCTCTCCTTCTGTAAAAAATCAATAAGATATATTAAAAAATAAATAAAAGGTACGAGCCATTTAAAAAAAAGAAAAAAAGTTCACAGATGAAACAAAAATAGGCGAGTCCGAAAGCTTCAGCCGTTTCTAGGAGAACTATTGAAATAGAGGGGCGAGGAGGTCCTTGGGGAGAGGACCCCTTCAGTTCAAGTTCAGAGGTCCCTCCGCCCACTGCCAGCACCCCACAGCTTCTGAGCCCCGTGCTGTTCTGGAGCAGGGTCTCTGGTGGTGAGGTCCGACAGTCGTGGACACCTGCTCTGGGGCTTGAAACCGGAAAGCCTGGGGCAGCTCCCACGGATCTCCGAGAGCCCTGAGCACGCTGCCTGTGTGCCTGGGGGAGGACTCAGGCCTTGTACGTGAATCTCCGGTGCGGCTGTGGAACTCGGCTGCCAGCGGTGGCAGCACCATTTGGACCTGGGCCTCGGGTCGGACAGACTGCTGCAGCGCAGGGACCCAGGGACAGCTGCTGAGGTTCAGCCTGAGCGGCTTACTGTGACCCCTGCTGGTAGCTTCTAGAATGCTGACTGATCGTGGAGCAGGAATGACTGCTCCTCCTCGCACCTGCCCAGGTCCTGCAGCGGGACCACTCCAGGAGGAGGAGAGGGAGCTTCCCAAGGATTAGGAGAACGGACCGGCACCACTCCATGCTCACCCTGGATGGCCAGTAACAGGTTTCTGGAACTTGGCGCCTCCCCGGAAACCAGCAGGGTGACAGAGGGTGCGGGTACCTGGCGCCATTGGCGAGCAGCAGTGACTGGAAAAGCCTGCCACCACTGCACTCCAGAGACAGCGCCAGCCTTGCCAATGCTTTGTTCCCGCGTCCCAGGCAGGGCAGGCCATGTGCCTTACAGCTTCCACAGGGACTCGGCGTCTCCTGTAACAACGGGAGCCACTGCTGGTGCCCTGACCTTCCATGACGTTAATGACAATGACTGGTTCCTGCCGAGGAAACCACGGCCAAACTTACAGACAATGCCCAAAATGCCACACAGTGGGCAACAAAGGAAAACTTACATCTCTAAGTATATTTTAAAAAGACTGAAATTAAATCAGCAAAACATACAACTCAGAAACTAAGAGTCAGAAAATAAACCCAAAGAAACAGGAAAAGGCCAATAAAGTAGGCATTTTGCGAAGCTAGTCAAAGAAAAATACACAAAAAAATTACAAGGCAAAGATCCACCCCTAAAATAAGGGTACCAAGTGCAGATGTTTTATAAATAAATTTTATCAAATTGTGAAGAAACAAGTAATTCCTTTTCTATAAATTCAAACCTGAAGAAAAAGATTAAATGTTCCTAAACTAGTTCTACATGATTGCAAGATTGTTATCAAATGGGATAGGGAGCTCAGATCATTACGACAAAGTGAGCCCTGGCTGGTGTGGCTCAGTTGGTTGGGCATCGTCCTGTGCACTGAAGTGTTCCTGGTTCTATTCCAGGTCAGGGCACCTGCCCAGGCTGTGGGCTCAATCCCCAGTAGGGGGCGTGCAGGAGGCAGTGGATCGATGTTCTGCTGTTTCCCTCTCATATCAGTGTTCTCTACCTCTCCCTTCCTCTGTCTCTAAAAATAAAAATTAAAAAAGTGAAATTTGCCTGAAAGGTATAAAAATCCTAACTAAATACTATAAAATCAAGCAGGGTTGTGAGAATGGTTCCATATTAGGAAACCTATTAATGAAAATCAATACAATAAAGCAAAACCTTTTGATTATCTCAGTAGATGTGGAAATTCATCACGATATGTTAAGAAAAACCCCTCAGTAAGCTAGAACAGGAGATCCCTCCAGCCTAATGAAGGTTATCAATGAGGAACCTAAAGCAAGAAAACATGAGAACAACTCCTGCTAAGAGACGAACAAATAAGGGTGCCACTCAACACTATACTGGAGGTCCTGGCCTCTATAACTCAAGAAATGAGCATCAAGGATCAGATAAACTTACCTCCAGTCGATTTTACTCTTTAGTCAGAAAGTGGAGAGAATCAGAATTCATTTAGATCAATGAGGTGAGCCCACAAAGATGGACAGCTTTCCTACGCCAGTGACGGTTACAATGTAATTGTAAAAGACCCATTCATAACAACAAATAACTCTCAGATTCCTGAGACTAAGCTGAACTGGACACATTAGAGACCCACATGAAAATAGCCCTTTACAAAAGGACAAACAACCTCATTTTTGGATAAGAAGATTCAAAAGTCTTAAGATAGTACTTTCCTCCAAATCCAACCATGAGATTTAAATCCATGCCAATGAAAATCTCAACAAGACTTTTAAATGAAAACTGACAATCCATTCTACAGTTCTTATGTCAGAAAAGACATGAAAATGTGAAATGTTCCAGGAACAGTGGGGCAGAGTGAGGGAGCTGTATCAATCATGCTATAAAGTGTGGTAAACAGGACAGATTAGAAATTCAAAGGGATCCACATATATGCAGGAATATAATTTATTTTAAAAGGTATTCTAAAGCAACGAGGGAAGAATGAGCCATTCCATAAATGACACAGGGACAAGTGGCCACATCTTTAGGGAAAAAAGTTAGCTATCTCCCCTAAAAAACAAGCTTCAAACGAATTTGTCTCAACCGCATCTGATGTTTACTTTTTGTTTGTATATATACATTTTCTCATTCTTTTTTTTAAAACTTATTTTTATTCATTTCAGAGAAGGGAGAGGGAGATAGAAACATCAATGATGAGAATCACTGATTGCTGCCCCCTGCATGCCCCACACTGGGCATCGAGCCCACAACTCAGGCCTGTGTCCTTGACTGGAATCTAACCCAGGACCCTTAAGTCCACAGACTGATGCTCTACCCACTGAGTCAAACCAACTAGGGCTCTCTCTATATATATATGTATTTGTGTGTACGTGTGTATATGTTTAAAGCCATACTAAGCAACATAATAGAAAGTGAGAAGAGCAGATACATGTGGAAAGGTTGAAGTCCCATTGGATTCCAATGGGAAGTAAAAAGATAGGAAGATCCATGAAGACATTGCAGGTTTGGTAATGGGGAAGTGTGAATTCTCACCAATGGCCTATTTCTTTTGTGCAGATTGAAAGGACATCAATTAGAATATGTTAATATTACTAACTTACTAGAGGCCAGATGCAGGAAGATTGATACAAAAATGGGCCTTCCTTCCCCTGGCTGCCGGCACCATCTTGGCTCTGGCCAGAGCCACCTTTCCACCTTCCCACGCTGCCCAGAGGCCAGGGGCACCGCGGGCAGTGTGCAACACCTGCGCCCCCGCAGCTCGCACCTGCATATGCAAATTAACCCGTCTTTGTTGGGCTTCGCAAAGGTACAGTCAATTTATATCTTACTCTTTTATTAGTGTAGATTTCTCTGGTGCATCACCCAAGAACCCCTGCTGCCAAGTTACTGCGGGTCAGCAACTCCTGAGTTGAGCATCTGCCCCTGGCTGTCAGTGCATGTCATAGCTATTGGTGAGATGGTCGCTTAGCCTTTTAGTATACGGTTAGATAGATACATATAGTTTTATTGATTTTTAGAAAGAGGGGAGAAGAGAAACATCCATGTGAGAAACATCGATCAGTTGCCTCCCACATACCCTGACTAGGGATCAACCTGCCACCTGAATACATATCCTGATCAAGAATTCAGCCCTAACCAGTTTGGCTCAATGGATAGAGCATCGGCCTGTGGACTGAAAGGACCCAGGTTTGATTCTGGTCAAGGGCATGTACTTTGGTTGCTGGCACATCCCCAGTAGGAGGTGTGCAGGAGACAGCTGCTTGATGTTTCTCTCTCATCTCATTGATGTTTCTAACTCTCTAACCCTCTCCCTTCCTCTCTGCAAAAAAATCAATGGAATGTATTTAAAAAAAAAATTCAACCCGCCACCTTTTGGTGTATGGGTGGGGTGGCGCTCCAACCAGCTGAGCCACCAGTCAGGGTGGCCTACTATTTCCTAGTGAAAACCAAGCTGTGAAGCTAGCAGGGGAAGGGGAAAAAGGTAGACAAGATAAGTTTCAAAACACACCCCAGAGTTGATCTGCTAGGCAGTGCTGAGGGTTCATCTGCGGTTTACAATGATAAACTTAAAGTAAAGCAAGTGAGCCCAGTTGGTGGTTTTCTCAAATAGTTACAGGCACAGAGGTGAGTGACTGGGTTGGCTGGGGTTAGGGTTTAGTAGCTGAATACAGTGGAAGGAAGACAAGAGGTGGAGGGTGTGGGCCATGGAATCCAAGTTGCAGAAGGAGGAAAAGCGAAGGGAGAAATGGTGAGAATGTGGTGGGGCTGGAGGATAAAGAATTTTTGCAGAGGGGGTAGTTGAGCAAGTAAACAAGAAAGCCAGAAGGCGGTGATTATACAGGTATTTGACTTCTAAAGTTGTTACAATTCCTACTGATCAGGGGCACAGGGGGTAGAGATGTAGGCAGCAGGCCAGGAATAGAAGACCCGAATTAGTGATGGGGATTATCAAGGAACTAAAGAGCCACAGTGCTGAACAGGCCCACCATGGGATGTAGAAAATGACTAAGCAAAGCTCTAAGCCAGGAGATTAACTTTCTGGTCTGCAGAGACTACAAGGTCAATGTCAGCAATGAGGAGGAGTAACATATAGCCAGAGGTTAAAAAAAACAGAGAGGTAAGTGGGATATGTTTTACAGGAGGGCTGAGGAGTGATGGTCTAAGTTGCTAGGAGGGTCCAGCAACCAGGGATGCACACAGCAGCGTGGAGGTGGGCACTCCTGCAGTCACAGTGACTAGAACTGCAGGGAAGTCAGCTTACGAGGTACTATGAAATTCATCCTGAGTGTTTCTTAGAGGCAACGGGGACTAGGTCCTATGGCTGTGATCCTGACAGCCTGAATCAGTACTGGTTGAGAGCAGGCAGTAAAGTGGCACTGTTCCCACTTATAAAGTACATGCAAGGAGGAACAGCACAGGGCCTGCTGCTTACTAAGTGCCCAATGAGAGAGTGGGGGAGGAAGGGAGGGGGGAAGAGAAAGAGAGAGAACGAACATGAACCTAGGAAACCTTAGTTTCCTCCTTAATTTCAAATCATTCAAAATGTCCAGCCATTCCCTAGTTCCTGCCCATGAGACCTCTACCAAGGAGCAATTTTTAACTGATTCACAGCTCCCTCTCCCTCCAGAGAGCCACTCGGACACTGGCACAAGTCACCACCCACCAGGGGTTTAATTCTCCTGAGTCAGCAGGTCGGTTCAGAGAGGAGTCCTGCCTTGTCCCCACTGGGGGGAGGATCTGTAGAGCACCCGGAATTGTCCGAGGTCAGAGGAGCCACGGACTTGTCTCTGAGCAAGAGGAGAAGCGGGTCCTGGAGCCTCAGGCTGTCTCCTCCTCCTCACTCTCCTCCTCGCTCTCGTGATACTGTCTGCGATTGGTGTTAACAAAGAGGTCAGAGTCATCTTCCGAGCTGGACTCTTCTCCCGATGACTGGGGCTCCGCTGGGAGTTCTGGCTGAGTTGGTCTTCAGGGGGAAAAGGACAGAGTTAGCCCAATGACTTCTGGGAAAGCAACATCTGCAAACAAGGAGGGCCCTCTGGGCTCAGCGAGTCAGGGAGCAGAGCAAACAGCAGGAAAACTGGGCCAACGAAAGCAGGTTAAAGACAACCCCCCCTCAAACGTTTACTAGAGCCACTGGTTTTAATTGTAATTATTCTCCTTACTAACACGCAATGGACCCACACTGCATACAAAATACTATCCTGAGCAATTTTATAAGCATCAGCTCCTTTAATCCTCCCAAGGCTATTTTATAGGTGAGGAAATTTAGGCTTTAGGGATGACGTAATTGCTTAAAGTCCCCAATTTTTAAGTGGCAAAGCCAGGATGTTAACCCACAGAATTTGACCACATATGTACACCCACGTATTTAGGAGCTCTCACGAGGGAGAAAGACGGGCTCTGTTTCCCCAGGACACTAAAGCTTGAACCCCCTTTTTCCGTCTTCTCAACCCTAAGGCTGGAACCTCACCTGTTCCTACTGCTGTTGTGTTTCTCAGCCACCTCAAAGGCCTCAGGCCTGTATCAGGAGAAAAGCCAGGGTCAGAAGAACAGAGAAATCTCTCACCATAAAAGCTGTCCCTGCCTGGATGCTATGATCTTTCCTCCCCTAACTGCACAGCTAAGGAGTCAATCCCGCCAAGCCCCCCAAATCTTACAGCCATTGGCCAAGGGGACCGCCTACCAGAGCCCATCCTTCTTCAGAGAGCGCACATGGTCTTTGCAGAGCACAAAGGAGATCTCGGCCTTCACCTTTTCCCCCTCTTCAATGGGGTCCACGATGAGAAAGTCCCCTGGAGGCAGAGAGGCACAGTCAGTCCAGCTTGCAGCGGCGGAAGCCAAGGCCACAGGAAATGCTTCTCACTCCCAGAGAGCTGGCCCTCTCACCTCTCTTGATCCAGATGTTCTTGCGGTATTTGGAGGGCATGCTTACCAGGAAGCGCTGCCCCTGGGCGGTCTCCACTTCGTGCAGATTGTTCCCTGGGGTCCTGAGTACCTGGTCCAGGAGACCAAGAACCATCTGGCCTCATCAGCCAGCTCAAAGGCCCACTGAGCTGGCTGTCTTCTCCCCCAGGCCCCCAGGGGCAGAGCAGCTATGCCCAATGCTACTCACCCTCACGATCTGCTGCTGGTCAGAGGGCACCATATGCTCCCCCAGCACCTCCTTCACCACGTGCTTCCTCTTGGTGGCCTGCGACATGCTGGTCCTGTCCCAGGGCGGTGAGGCGCAGAGGCTGTCCACCTCTCCTGAGTCTCCTGGGTGGCGGGATCAGGACCCAGGACTGCTTTGGAGATGGGGAGGGGCCTCCGACTGAGGAGGGACCGTGTACTCGTTAAGAACGCGGGCTCTGAAGTCTAACTGCTTGGATTGGGATCTTACTTCTGACTATTTCCTGTGAACAAACAAAGGGGTTGTATGGACAATGAAGGTGATCTGATAATGAAGTCCTAACTGGGCAAGTCATGGTGGCTAGTCATGCCCCAATAAGTTTTTTACTTATTTATTTATTTTAGAGAGAGTGAAGGAAGAGGGAAATAAATGTAGGTTTGTTGTTCTACTTAGTTGTGTGTTTATCGGTTGCCTCTTGTATGTGCCCTGACCGGAGATCAAACCCACTATCTTGGTGTGTCCAAACGACGCTCTGACCAACTGGACTACCCGGCCAGGGCCCAGGCCTAGAACTTCTTTAACGAAAGGTTTTTAAGTCACGACCCTCAAGAGAGCATATGATCACATTAACTTTCCTGGAACCCAACCCCCACCTAGCTTTCTCCCACCCTTTTGTAATCTCCCTTAGTTCCATCCTTTAGTTCAAATTTATAAATGAAAACTGCAAAACTATTCATCTCCGGAGGGTTTAAGATCTTGCTCCCTGGCACATGTTGTCAGTTTGGCTCAAATAAACTCATAAAAATTCTCCACAGGTTTGGAAGTTTTTAGGTTGACAATCCTTACTATTCAATTCTCTAGGCTTCGGGGGAAAAAATAAAAAAATAATAGCTAACTCAGGGCATTTATTAGGATGAGAAGATGTAAGCAAAGGACTCAGAACAGTGTATGGCACATAAAAACAACTCATGTTATCATAAGTACTGGCATAATCATAAAAGCTAAATAAATCATTCTGGCCATCGCTCGGGAAGAGATAAACGAAACTGTATCTTCCTCAATATGCTGGTCCATCCCAGTGCAGCACAGCCACACACACAGAGGCCCGCTATCTCAACACAATCCAGGCAGAGGCCAGTTAGGAGAGCCCGCCAAGGTCCACGCCAGGAACTGGCTCCATTAACGGGCGAGGTCAGCAGTCTCGGGCCTGGGCATCTGCTCTATTTCTGGCTTGCGTTCGGAGATGACAAGGACTGGCACCACCAGGTTGACAAAGGAAAACTCCCAAGTGCTACTTCTGGCTGTAGTTTTCTGCCTCCCGCCCCTACCCCGGAGGAAAGACTCCGAGAGCGAGCGAGACCCACACCTACCTTCTGGCCCTCTCCTCCCAGGGCGCCGCCGGAGCGATCCCGTCCTCCAGGCTGGACGCTGGGAGCGGCTGGTCCACGACTCACTTCGCAGCCGAGCCAGCGAAAGCACAGAAAATGAACTCGCCGGTGCGCAAGGCGGTGGAGCTTGCTTGGACTCAGGTCTCCAGCGTGTCGGGTTCCTGCCCGGCTCCTAAAAGCCCGACACGGTTCGGCCGGAGTCGGACCCTTTCGAGAGCAGTACTTCCGGCGCTCTGCCGGAAGCCTTCAGCCACCCTCTTTCCTCCCCGTCCGACCCTCTATTTCTTCCGGCCGCCAAGTGGGCCGACGCTAGGTCTTTGAGTTCCGGGTGCCGTGCAGCCGGGAAAAGAAGTTTTCTTCCCCAGACCTCCGCTCCGAGGCCGGAAATGCTGCCTGAGAAGAGAAATCAGACCAGGCAGCCCGGCTTCCCGCGAGCCGGCCGAAAAGGAGCGTCCGCTAAGGTTGCCGTGGAGGTCCAGAGCGCCTCAACTCTATGGCTCTACGCAGCTAGAAGCGCCAAATTTAGTTTTTTTCAGGCGGCTCTTGAGGCGACCCGGAAGCGGAAGTGGGGGAAAGTTCTAGTGGGTTGAGGTATCGGCGGGAGCTGCCGGCGGCGGGAGAAGCCGTTACGGAAGCTGGGACTGCCGGTGAGCGCCCGCCGCGGAGCAGGGCCCGGTCTGGGAGCAGGAGGTGCACGGAGAGGGAGGAGGGAGGACGGGGGCGCCGGCGGCGCGGCCGGCCGGAGCCCGCGCCCTTGGAGAGGCCGGGCGGCGGGAGCGGGCAGCGCGTGGGCGCGGCGGCGCGTGGAGGGGCGGGGCGGCGCGCTGGGGGCGGGGCCGGGCGGCGGAGCCGGCGTGGACCCGGCGGGCGGGAGCCGGGGCGCGCTCCGCCGGCGCCGCTCCGCCCGGGAGCCCCCGGGGCGGCGGAGGGCGGAGGGGCCCTTTGTTTGCTCCTCCCGCCCGGTGGCCGCTCCGGGCAGCAGCGCCCTCCTTTCCCAGCCAAGGTCACAGAGGAGTGACGCCCTCCGCGAGCCCCGCCCCGCGTGCGCCACCTGAGCGGGCGGATCGTCTTTCCTCCGGGCAGTACTCGGCGCCTTCCCCGGGAGTGAAGAGATTTCTCTCTCGAATAGTGGGGGAAACTTTTTGGACCTTTTTTTTTTTTTTAATTTTACTGATTTTTTACAGAAATAGTTAGAAATACCTTTGAGAGAGAAACACCCATCAGCTGCCTCCTGCACACCCCTTACTAGGGATGTGCCCGCAACCAAGGTACAATACATGCCCTTGACCGGGAATCGAACCTGGGACCTTTCAGTCCGCAGGCTGATGCTCTATCCACTGAGTAACACCGGTTTCGGCATGGACCTCAGTTTTCTTCTCCGTGAAATGAGGGGGATCAGTAAGCCACCATGATGGCTGGGTTCACGTTCTCTGAATATGAGACCTGGGCCAATGGGCCTTTGGGACGTTTCCGGGTTTTCGGCCCTAACCTACCTTTTCTTGGGGTTCCCAGATCAACCCTGGTCAAGATGACAACCTCCCAAAAGCACCGAGACTTCGTGGCCGAGCCCATGGGGGAAAAGCCAGTGGGCAGCCTGGCGGGGATCGGTGAAGTCCTGGGCAAGAAGCTGGAGGAGCGGGGCTTTGACAAGGTGTGGGAGGCTGCGAGCAGCTGGGGAGGGTGGGGGAGAGCCGGGCGGCCGGCTGCAGCGCTGCCTGGTGGTTTGGGAGTGAGGGAAGGGGTTTGCCTGTTGGGGTGGGCAGTGGGGTCAGTCTGAGGAGATAGCCAGAACCTGCCCTTCCTCCTGGGCCAGTGGTCGGCAAACTGCGGCTCCCGAGCCACATGCGGCTCTTTGGCCCCTCGGGTGTTTAGCGAAGGTCAGCTTAGGAGTACCCTAATTAAGTTAACAGTGCACCTACGTATATAGTTTTAAGTTTAAAAAATTTGGCTCTCGAAAGAAACTTCATTTGTTGTCCTGTTGATATTTGGCTCTGTTGACTAATGAGTTTGCCGACCGCTGTCCTAGGCTCGTGGGGTTTGAATGCACGGCCGGGGCGCCGCTGTAGTCTCACAGGTCACTGAGCCGCCCGCCCTTTACCGTGCCCTTTGCAGGCCTACGTGGTCCTGGGCCAGTTCCTGGTGCTGAAGAAGGACGAAGACCTGTTCCGGGAGTGGCTGAAGGACACGTGTGGCGCCAACGCCAAGCAGTCCCGGGACTGCTTCGGGTGCCTGCGCGAGTGGTGCGACGCCTTCTTGTGATGCTCTCTGGGGAGCCCCCGACCCCTGACCCCCGCCTCGAGTCTCCAGAGTTTGCAGCTGAGTGGGGGTGCTCCCTTGTCCTCTACCAAGGAAACGATGGCTGTCTGCTCACCACCAATGGCCTCCGGGTCCTCGGGGGAGTTCTCTCCCCTCACCATTTCAACTTTTTTGGAATTCTCACTCTTGCATGCATCTCCCTTCTCTTTCCCGCCAGTTTCAGGTCAACAACCAGCTTTTCTGAGTGGATTTCTGGCCCCTACCCTCACCCCGGGTCTGTTTAATGACGTTTGGCTTCTCTTTTGGCAAAACCGTCACTGTCCGTATAAAGTTTTTTAAATCAATAAAGTCAGTGGCCTTCCAGTACTGGGCTTTGTGGTGTGGAAAGCGCGTGGGCTGGGATCGCCAGCTTCCCAGGGACTGATCAGGCCTGCCGTGCTTATCAGTGCACATCGAAACCGGCCCTTCCTCCTCACTCCCCGGACGGCACCCCAGGCACGCAGGCCTCGGACAGGTGCGCTGAGTGTCTCAATCCCTAGTGACGTGGGAGAGTGTGGGTTGTTCCCTTCCTGGATCCAGATGGGCTGTGTGTTCCAGATGTCAGTTGAGTCAGCAGCTGGGCTGGGCAGCTCCGGGTGGAAAGGGCCGTGGGTGTCAAGTATCAGGAAGAGGGGGAACCGATACGGGCAAAAGTTCGCCTGTGTCCTGGGCTGGGGAGCAGCGGGCAGGGCCCTTACCGGCTGCCCTGCTCTCTGAGGGTGGCAGGAAGACCAGGGGCATCGCAGCTGGGTGGGCGCGAGGGAATTGCTCTGGTACACTTCCATCGTGTTCCTGACCACTGAACCAGGCCCACGGCTAGGGTTTTGGCAACCACTTTTTTCTTCCACTATTTTCTCTCTTACCGATGGGGAACCAGGCTCAGAGAGACTGACATGTTCCTGGACTTACTGGTAGGAAGTACCCAGACTGGCCCTCCAAACAGTTTGGAACCCCATGTACCAGAGCCCTATGCTCCTCGGCCTCTCTGAGCCTCAGTTTCCCCACGTGGAAATGAGATTGTTGTAACGATCAGGTGGAGTGCTAGCTGTGCAGCGCCCAGCCCTGCTTGGCTCGCAGTGAACAGGAGGAACTGCTCGCTCACAGAATTTCCCTCTGGGTTACTGTCAGGTTCTTGAGTCTCAGTGCAGAAGTGAGCACTGCACTCAGTGCGAGGTCAGGCAGACGGAGGTCATTGGGAAGAGAAGCTTGTGCGGAGGAGAGGAGGAGCTCCCAGCGGGCTGCTTGCCGGTGGTTATGTAGGGGCCTTGGCGTGGGTGCAGGCTCGGGAGTGAGGGCGAGGCAGTTGTCCACCATTGTCCTCTGGCAGCGGCGGATTCCAAGGCAGTCACAGGCATTTCCTGTGCGCAGTGGACCGCTCATGGGGCCTATGAAATAATGCTTATGCAGATGTTCTAGTTACCATTTGACAAATATGATGTTAAAAACGGATGTTACAGCACTTGATACTGAGTTATCTGTGGCCTAGCCTTGTTTTGTATCAGAGGCTCGTGGTGTGGTGACAGCTGGTCGAAGTGCAGTATTTAAAAAGCCACGAGCATCTTCAGCGCAGTGTGCAGACATGCTCTGAATTATATCTCAGGGGCACACTGACGGGGAGAAGCCCACTACTTTATCACTGTACAGTCTTTCCTGGAAGGGTGTGGTTAGGTCAGTTTGAATTACAGAATTTTACTGAAAGCAAGGAGTAATGGGCCTCTAAAATGAGTTCTTTTGGTCAAAATGGAGTCCAGATGTTACCCCCTATGCTGTCACAAGGGGACTTACAGTCTGGTCAGGAGAGACTGACATATTAAATAGGGATAATATAAGATTTTCATGATCTCAGGGAAAATTTAAGAAAAAGTTGATCAGTTCAACTCCATTAATAGAAACAGTTCATCTAAAATACTGTGAACAGTGAGGGGAAGACTCACCCGAGTGGAAAGGGTATTTGCAGCACAGAAACCACAAAGGGCTGTATCCGGGGCGCACACAGCTGCAGCGAAGAAACAGCAAATGGCCCAGCCAGCGTGGCTCAGTGGTTAGCACCAACCTGTGAACCAGGTCACAGTTCGATTCCTGGTCCGGGCGCAGGCTTGATCCCCAGTGGGGGGCATGCAGGAGGCAGCCCATTGATGAGTCTCATTGATATTCTATCTCTGCCTCTCCCTCCCTCTCTGGAATCAATAAAAATATATTGAAAGGCAACCCTGAGGGATACCCAGATGATGAATAAGCCTGTGGAAAGGTGTTTACACTTGGGATCAGAAATACGAGTGAGATGCAATGGTGCTAAACTGGATCAGCAAAAATTGTGGTTGGACATTATGGAGTGCTGATGAGAAGGGAACAGCGAACTGATGCCGAGCTGGTGGGGACATGTAGACAGTTGGGGAGAAGACGGGAGTTTTCTAGTAAAACTGGAAACCCACCTAGGGTCCAACATTCCACTCCGGGGCTGACCTGGACTCCCACCTCGTTTTGTGTCTTAACAGCCCCCGACTGGAACGGCTAATGGCGGTCAGTGCCGTGAACGTGAACTTGCTGTGTACGAGGGTAGACATTCCCAAGCAAACAGTGGCCACATCAAGTCATGCGATTCCATTTTTGTAAAGTAAATTCTTGCTTGGGAGTCTGCCTAGGTGGTAAAACTAGAAAAAGCTTATCGCAAAAATCAACAGTAACCACCTCTGGGGGCAGGAGGAGGGCGATGAAAGGCCAGCCTGGGCGGCGGCGGCAGTGTCCATTTCCGACCTCTGTGGTGCGATACGGCACGGACTCCTGTCAGCGTGATCAGATACGCTCTGTGTGCTTTTCTGTATGTAGCCACACCGCAGAGTAGTAGAATAAAGGGAAAAAGTACAGGCCCGGATAGAGCGACACTGGGCGTAGCTGGAGCTGGTGGTCAGTAGGGGTGAGGGTTCGGTGCAGGGCGGGCTCTGGGAAGTGAGTGGCCCCTTGGAAGGTCACCAGGTGGCCAGAGCCGGCCGGCTTCTGTTACAGGCCATCGGGAGGGGGCAGCTGACGCCCGGAAGGGTGATGTGGGCTGTCCCGGCAGTTCCCGGCTGCACTGGGTTTCTGCTGTTTTCCTGGGTGCTTCCGGGACCCAGACCCCCGGGCTGTGAGGCTGCCACACAGACCTGGTGTGCCCCGCAGGGCCTCAGCTCCCCGCCTCTGCCCAGGCTGCCGGAGCGCTGTTGGCACTCAGGTAATGGAGACGGCTCTTCCTTCACCACAGCCTTCCCAGGGTCCTTCCCGCGCTGGTGGCCAGTTTTGCAGCCCGTGGCTCTGGCTGGGGCCTCAGCAGAAATCTGGGGGTGCTGCCTGCTCTGCTGCTTCCTCGTGGGCTTTCCTGCCTGGCCACAGGCTTTGTCTCTGAGGGGCTGGGCCTGCTCTCTGCCTCTCCCTGGGACTCGGGCAGCACCTGTGACAGGCTGGAAAGGCCCACGCTCTTATCTGGTCCCTGCCCACACAGCTTCCCGATCGGTCCTGGAGCGGGAGACAAAGGCCTGGGATGTTCGCTGTGACTGGCCTTTCAGAGGCCCAGCCGGCTCCCAGTGGGAGAGAGGGCACTGGGGAAAACAGGCCAGGGTGGGATGGTAGAAACCAGGTTATCTAAGTGTCAGCCCACGTTGCCCAACAGACCGTGCTTTGTTGGCGAGCTGGGTGGGCCTGGGAGTCGGCAGATCCTGACTCACTGTGTCTGTCCCAGGCAGCTGCACCCAGTGAGCGCCTGGCCCCCTCAGCAGTCCCGTCATGAGCACTCAGGGTGGGCCCAGCGCTGGGGTGGGGTTCTGAGGAGTCCTGCTGGCCCTGGAAGGGAAACGGGGGCCACAGGATGAACCTAAGCTCCAGACACCTGCCCGGTGGCCGCCCAGAGCATGAATGCTCAGTGTGTGTCCTCCGCCACAGCCCCTCCACACTGCCTCCTCCCTGCCGGCACCCAGGGCTCTGTCCGCTGTGGCCTGAGGAGCCAGGCCCGGTGCAGGTCCGCTTCTCCTCTGTCTGCTGTGGGCCGGAAGCAGGCGCCTTGCTGCTCTGAGCCTCAGCCTCCCTCGGCTGCGCAGGGCGGTGAACATTCAGCAGCTGATGAATGTGAAGCCCCTGCCCCCCCCCCCCCCCCCCCCGTCCCCCACAGCGGGGAGTGTCAGCACTGCTGGCTCCCAGCTTCCTGCCCGGGGCTCCTTTCCAGGATGGGGTCCGACAGGGAAGGGGGAGCAGAGCCCTGGGGAGGGGAGAGGAAAGGTAAAGGGTTCGATGAGGGTTTGGGGGCACAGAATGAAGGCCTGATCCCAGGGTGAAGGGAATGGCAAGGGTCCATCCTGGTCAGTGAGACCCATGGTCAAGGGTGAGAGGGGTGCCATGGGCAACCTGGATTGGGATGTCTGGGCCACAGCAAAGCTGGAGGCTGAGCTCTGTGGCCAGTGGGGATGGCCACACCTGGCTCAGCCCCTTCTGGAAGCCAGAGTGGACCAGGCAGGGGGGAGTCCAGGCTAAGGGCTCTTCTCCGAATGAGACCCAGCCCTGGGAAATCCTCTGGGTACTCCACCTCCAGGGGTACTCCACCTCCAGGGGACCCCACCTCCAGGGCCTCTCCCCTGCACAGCAGACCTCATGTTCTGGTGGAGCAGGCCGGGACTCACACACACGGGTGCCACCCCAGTCTCCACCACTGACCCTGACCCCCCATTTGTTCCTTCTAAAAAGAGGAAACAGTCACTGCCCCGCAGACTGTTATGATGAACGAACATGAGTCCCTGGCATGCAGAGGGAACCCAGCAGCTGTTCATTTCTCTCCCCCACCCTTTTCCATCGCTGCCTCTTCCAAGCCCCAGCTATGACCCTTGACCTTGAACACTGACCAGATCTTAGAGTCCTAAGGCAAAAGGTCTGTTCCCAGCAGCATGATCAAGCCGCGTGTAGCTGCGTGACCTTAAACACGTGTCCTGACCTCTGATGAACTGTCTTCATCTGCAAAATGCGGGTGGTGCTCACTGCTTTGCAGCGCGGTGAGGATAGAGCAGCGGGTGAGAGGACTGGCCACTGTTAGGCCGGGGTGCATCAGAGGAGGGAGTGACAGGAGAGGCAGGGGAAACGATCTGGGCCTGGGCCTGGCGAATGCTCCAGGAGCTGCTGGGATAGCGTGGTCATGGCTGAAGCTGTGGAATAGGAGCGAGGCCTGCGAGTGCCTGAGAAGGCTCCTGGCCCCGTGGGCTGCCTCCTCCCTCTCCCTGCGCTGCTGGCCCCGGCCCGTTACTCTCCCCGCTCCTGGCTTCTCTCAGGCCAGGCTCCTGCCTGGCCTTGGCCTCCTCATCAAGCCCACCAGCTTTCCCACAAACTCCGGGCTGTGTCTTTAAGGCGGACACCTGAGCCCACAACAAACTTGAGACAGTTCCTTGGAATCCCAAGATTGTTTTCACACCTGGGCTCTGGGCGGGTAGAGGCTGGACTGGGCGGTGGCCACACTCTGGTCCCGGGAGTGCTGGGTGCTTACTCATTCCTCCCAGTGCACTTGACCCTTGAACACGTTGGGGTTAGGAACAGTGACAACCCCCAGTTAAAAGTCTATCTCTACACAAAGAATACGTGCACCCCTATATTCATAGCAGCGCAATTTACCATAGCTAAGATTCGGAAACTGCCTAAGTGCCCATCAGCAGATGAGTGGATAAAAAATGTGTGGTACTATCTACACAATGGACTATCATGTGGCAATAAAAAAAGGAAAACTCTCACCATTTGCAACAGCATGGATGGATCTGGAGAGTATTATGCTGAGCGAAATAAGCCAGTCAGAGAAAGATAAGTATCGTATGATCTCACTCATGTGGAATCTAATGAAGCAAATAAACTGATGATCAAAAATAGACCAGCCGAAACGGGTTTGGCTCAGTGGATAGAGCATCGGCCTGCGGACTGAAAGGTCCCGGGTTCGATTCCGGACAAGGGCAGGTACCTTGGTTGCGGGCACATCCCCACTGAAGGGTGTGCAAGAGGCAGCTGATTGATGATTCTCTCTCATCGATGTTTCTAACTCTCTATCCCTCTCTCTTCCTCTTTATAAAAAATCAATAAAATATATTTTTTAAAAATAGACCCAGAGACATAGAAACATGAACAGACTGTGGAACCTCAGAGGGAAGGCAGGGGAGGGTGGGTGGGAAGAGATGAACCAAGACCTTGTATGCATGTATGCATAACCCATGGACACACACTATGGGGTGGTGAGGGCCTGGGAGGGGGGCTGGGAGGGGGCTGGAAGAGGTTAATGGGGGGAAAGGAGGACCTATGTAATATTTTCAACAATAAAGATAAAAAAAGAATATGACTTTGACTTTCCCAAATAATAGCTCACTATTGACCAGAAGCCATTAACATAAATAGCCCATTATCACATATTTTGTTTTTTATATATATTATGTGCTATATTCTTACACTAAAATAAGCTTGAGAAAACATGGTAAGAAAATCATAAGAAAATACATTTACTGTATTTATTGAAAAACATCCACTAGTAAGTAGACTCATGCAGATCAAACCTATGTCATTCAAGGGTTAACTCTAATAGTTACCACTTATTAAGCACCAACTGTTTGTCACATACTATCTTCCAAAATCCAATTAAGATCTTTGACCCTAAGCACTGACCAAATCTTAGTGTCCTAAGGGCGAAAGGCCTGCTTCCCCCCCAGCAACGCCCAGCAACTGTACTGATGGCTACAACATGGAGGAAGAATCTCAACAAAACCCAGACTGCTCAACGGTGACTTCCTGTTTTTATGTATTATCAGACGATTCCTCCCAAGAGTTCTATGCCCGGTCTTGCTGGGACCTCCAGCACACGCCCGCTGCCCATGGTGACCCCGTCTCGGGCCTTTATTAACAGAACAGCCTGCGAAGATATTGTCCCTTCGAGGGCACGGGCTCTCAGAGCTCCAGGGACTTGCCAAAGTCACCCAGGTAGTCACTGCAGAGCTGGCATGACCCCCTCCTGGCCAGTTCGCAGCCTTTGGTCTCAGTTGGGTTTAAGAGCAAAGATGGGACAGCCTGCTCGGGTTCACCGTTTACCAGCGGGTCCGGCTAGCTTGCTCAGAGCTGTCTGTGTGCCACACGGGATGGGCCTCCTGCGGGGGGCTGCCCTGCCCTTCCCCTCACAGCGCGGGTGTGCCCTGGGGGGCAGGTGTGCTGGGGCTGAAAGGGGCCTGGCCAGAGTGCCAGCCCCAGGGATCCCCCGTCCCCAGCCCGCGCACCGCGCCGGGGGCGGGGCCAGGGGCGGGGCGGGCCAGGGGCGGGGCGGGCCAGGGGCGGGGCGGGGCCTCGGGGAGCCGGAGCCCATAAAAGCGGCGCGGCCCCCGGGCCGGGCATCGACGGCGATGGCGCGTCCGCAGCTCCCGCCGGCGCTGGGCCTGGCCCTGCTCGCCTTCTGCCTCCTGGCGCTGCCCCGCGACGCCCGGGCCCGGCCCGGCGAGCGCCTGGTGGGCGGACTGACGGACCTGAAGCCCAGCGACCCGCAGGTGCAGAAGGCGGCGCAGGCGGCCGTGGCCAGCTACAACATGGGCAGCAACAGCCTCTACTACTTCCGCGACACGCGCATCCTCCGCGCGCAGAGCCAGGTGCGTGGGCCGGCGGGCGCCAGGTTGAGGAGGAGTCCGAATCGGGATATTTTTTAATATATTTTATTGATTTTTTACAGAGAGGAAGAGAGAGAGATAGTTAGAAACATCGATGAGAGTCATCGACCAGTTGCCTCTTACACACCCCCTACTGGGGATGTGCCCGCAACCAAGGTACATGCCCTTGACCGGAATCGAACCCGGGACCCTTGAGTCCGCAGGCTGACGCTCTATCCACTGAGCCAAACCGGTTTCGGCTCAACAATATATTTTTTAAAATCGAATTAACGCCCCAACATTTCACAAGGAACAAAATATCTGAATTTCAAATAGACTCTAACCCTGACCTTACACAGCTGCCTCACTGGCTTCACCCCAGTCCCTCTCCTGGCAGCCCATCGGGAAGGGCGGTGGGGAGACGAGGCGGGGGGAAATGAGGATGGTGCGTGCGCTTGGGCAGCCTCCTGCCTGGCCGGGGCCTCAGTCTCTCCCCGGGGACCCCCACCCGGAGGCTCCTGCCCCAGGTCCGAACCCCCAGGCCAGGGTGCGGGCGCCCAGAGGGAGGGAATGGGAGATGGGGGTGGCGGCGAGGGGCGAGGGGTAGTGTCCGGGCACTGCTTACCTGGCCCTGCCTCTGTCCAGTTGGTGGCCGGCATCAAGTACTACCTGACGGTGGAGATGGGGAGCACAGCCTGCCGCAAGAGTGCGGTGACCGGAGACCGCATGGACCTCACCACCTGCCCGCTGTCCGCAGGGGCACAGGAGGAAGTAAGAGCCTGCCCCCCGCCCTGCCCCCAGCCCCGGCCTCAGGCTGTCCAGCTTGAACTGGTCTGGCTGGCCAGACTGAGGTCGGGCTGAACCCATCCCTGCCTTCTGGGTGACTCAGCGCCAGGTCAGGGTGGGGTGCAGAGGAGAAGGGGGTTCCCCCTGGAGTGAGAGTTGGCTAGAAAGATCTGGGGTGTAGTTTTGTTGACTCCTGGGCCAGGGACTGCCCCTCGTGGTGGGCCAGCACTGACTGAGGGGAGGCGGCAGGCCTGGGCCAGGCTCACACCCCCCCCCCCCTCCATCTGCAGAAGCTGCGCTGCGACTTTGAGATCCTGGTGGTGCCCTGGGAGAACTCCTCCAGCCTCCTCAAGCACCACTGCGTGCCGGCGTAGGCGCGGCCACGGAGGGGCCGCTGGTGGAGGGCGCTTCGGGCCACAATAAACTGCTCACTGCTTCTCCGTCCGTCTCTTCCGAGTGCTTCCCGCCCCCTCCAGCCTTCCGCTCCCGCTCCGGGCAGCCCCCCTCCCCGCTGAGCTGCTGTCCCGGCCCACACAGAGCCCAGGGGTACGGGGTTAGCGCCCAATCTGGAGTCCTCCACACACCCAGCATCGCAGACACAGAGGAACAGACACAGATTCTCGAAGCCACAGGAGGGGGTGGGGGGGGGAGCTCTCCTCGCTCTCAGCCCCCTGGGTGGCATGGGGGGGCGGGGAAGCCAGCCGGCCCAGGCTGCCGCTGGGGCCCGGGAGGCGGGCAGTGACGCCCAAGCACACATGGTGCGGGGCCCCGAGCAGGGTCCGGGAAGGGGCTGGCCCAGGACCTCCGGGGGGCTGAGGGGAAGTCTGCCTCCAGGAGGGATGAGGGGCGGATCGGTGTAAAGAGACAGAGTTGCAATATTTCATGCACACCTGAATTTGCAGCTGCAATGCATGCTTCACACACACACACACACACACACACCAGACAGGGAAACCCAAACAGCCCTCGGTGTTCTGGACACACACACAGATCCAGAATACCACACACCACCTGGCAGCCGGAGTGAACACGGACCCGCGCACAGCCTGAGACCCGTGTGTTCAGAGCTGTCCACACCCACGCCGGGGACAGGACCGGCCCTGGCTGAGCCTTGGGCGCACCGGCTGTGGGCACCAGCGGCCCAGGCAGCCAGGGCAGTGGCTGGGAGCCCCCAGGCCAGGCTCTCCCTGCTGGGCCTGCCTGGCCCTCCTGGGTGCTGGGACCAGTGAGGAGCTGTCCCCGCTCCCGGCCCTGCCTCTCCCCGGCTCAGAGGCGGGGCGAGGAGGGGTAGGCAGGTGTGCCCTCCACAGGGAGGCTGAGGGCCGGGGGCTGGGTCTGACGGGTTAGGGTGCTGCTTCTGCTCCAGCGGCGGCTCAGACCGCCCGGGGCGGGGGCGGGCCGCTGCTGGGACGGCTCCCAGTGCCGCCGAGCAGGAGCTTCCAGCGGGGCTGGCGCAGGGCCCGCGGCCGGAAATGCTTGTTGAATGAATGTGTGAGGTGGTGGAGTGAGACGAGGCCAGGAGGTATCTGCCAGGTGGCCTGTCCGTCCTGGAATCTGTGCGCAAACCCCAGACGGCACCTCCTCTGCCCAGCCCCGTCCTGGCCCCGAGCCAGCCGGCGCCCTGGGCCAGGCCCGGAGGGGGGGCCTGGAGGCTTCAGGCTGGGAGGCACAGGTTTGGTGCAGAGCTGTCACCCTCCGTCTGACCCCCCCAGCTGTCCGCGTGGTGGTGCCACTGGACCAGAGGAGGTGCTGTGGGTGTGGAGGAGCCCTCCTCTGGCTCTTCAGGGCCAGGGTGCGGCTCGCACTGCCCTCAGTGTAGGTCTCCCGCACCTGCACCCGTACCTGCACCCGCACCGCACCCGGCAGGGCCAGCACTGGGACCTCTGGGCTCATGATGGCCCCCCGGTGGACGCTCGGGGCGCTGGAGGCCTGAATGCCTGGGCTCTGAGCCTCTGGGCCCCCCATCCTGACACAGGGGCTCCTCCAGCTCCTGTCTCCTGCCTCCGGGGCCAGGAAGGCCTTCCGCCCGGCGCAGAGGCCCCGCTCTGCCTCGGCACTGAGCCCGGCCGCCCTCCGGCCACCCCCTGGCTGCCGCCGACCCCCAGGCCCCCCACGAGCAGCACCTTTCACATGTAACTCGCGCACACTCGCATGTGCACGCTCACGTGCGCACACAGCTCTCCGGCCTCGTGCCGATGAGGACACGGAGCCTGCTGGGGCTTAAAACTCTGTTGGGGTCCAGCTCTGCAGGCCTGACAATCATTCCCGCAGGCCTGGGCCTGTCCCGTCCCCCAGGGGGCAGCCTGCGGAGGCTGAGGTCTGTCCGCCGTCCCTGTCCCGGGTCATTTCCTGAAGTCCTCCTCGCCAGCCTGGGGGGGATGGGGGGGGTCTGAGCTGCCAGCCTCTGCCTTTTCCAACGCCCTTGGGACTGCTATTAGGGCTACTTCTAGGCACAGTGCCCCCTCCCGCCCCCCGCCTTCCAGCATCACCTCACCCCTGGCCCCTCCTCCCCGGTCCTGCCAGTTCACCTCAAACGCAGTGTCCACGATCTCGTCGATGACGGACGCCTGGGAGCGGAACTTCTGCTGGTAGTGCTCCACGCCCGCGGCCAGCTGCAGGAAGTGGAACAGGAGCTCCTGTTGCCTGGTGGGGGTGGGGGGGGGCGGGGGGCGGAGGTGAGTCCTGGCCAACCCGCCTGGCTGGACCTTCTGGCCCCCTGAGCCCCCAGACAGCTCTTCCTGTCCATTGTATACCTTTTACTGATCTCAGAGAGAAGGGAGAGGGAGAGAGAGAGAGGATATCAGTGATGAGAGAGGGTCATTGATTGGCTGCCTCCTGCACACCCCCTCCTGGAGATAGAGACGGAGTCAGCAGCCTGAGCGTGTGCCCTGGCTGGGAGAAGTCGTGACCTCCCGGTTTATAGGTCAATGCTCAACCACGGAGCCACACTAGCGAGGCCAGATGGCTCTTCTTTTTTTTTTTTTTTTTTTTTTAAATATATTTTATTGATTTTGTACAGAGAGGAAGGGAGAGAGATAGAGAGTCAGAAACATCGACGAGAGAGAGTCATCGATCAGCTGCCTCTTGCACACTCTCTACTGGGGATATGCCCGCAACCAAGGCACATGCCCTTGACCGGAATCGAACCCGGGACCCTTCAGTCCCCAAGCCGATGCTCTATCCATTGAGTCAAACCGGTCTCGACCAGATGGCTCCTCCCTCCGTCCCCCCCTCACAGCACTCCAAACCCCATGTCCCACCCCCCAGCCTGCCTGTGCCACAGAGGTGTTAACTGTGTGCCCTTCCGACCCTCCACCCTCCTCCCATCACCTAGCATCCCCTCGCCATCGATCACCCCCACTCACTCACTGACCTCCCCCTCCATCCACCCGCTCTGCCCTGAACCCCCCTTCGCCACGCTGTGCCGTCCATCAGCCACCTAAACCCCCACCCGGGCACCCAGCCTGCTGCCCACGCATAACGCCCCACGCCCGCCTGGTCACACAGCCGCGCCAGATAACCAGTTACCCTGCACGGCGCTCGCTCCGAGCACACAGACCCAACAAGACAGCCCTGCCTCCGGGAGGCCAGTCCGCGGGAGCCAGGAGGCAGACTGGTGAGTGTGTGCGGACAGAGGCGGGGGGTGGGGGGTGGGAGGAAAGGGGGGTGAGGAAGGGCTCACAGAGGGGTGCCCTGAGCTGAGTCTGAAAGAGGGGATGGTCTGCCAGGCTCAGCCAGAGGAGCAGGGCGCAGGCTGGGGCGGGCAGGCCGCGGGGCAGGCGGCTCCGGGAACGGAGGGGCCGGAGGTGGGGACAGCCCCGCAAGGTCCAAGCCAGGTGCCGGGCCTTGTCCTCAGGGAGGCAGGAGCCCTCGTAGGGTTTCAGCACCAGAGGAAGAAGGAAAAGCCGGCACGGCTCTAATAAAAGAGGGGACGTGATCTGATGACGCTGGCGGCGGGCTGTGGGGAGGAATGTGGGGCCACGAGTTCCCGGGGGGCACGGCGGAGGCACCCGGGGCCCAGGCTGGGCTCGGGGCCGAGGAGCCGGGCGCGGAGGGAGCGGAGGGCCAGGGTGAAGGGCGCAGGACTGGCACTCCGCTCCCCCAACTCTGGGCACCTGAGCCTGGCCTGGCAGCCGGAGAGCATTCCAGGAGAGAGAACAGTGTGGGCAAAGGCCCAGAGGTGCAGACGTGGTGCTCAGCTCGGGAGACTGTGGGTGAAGCGAGGGTGTGAGGGGGTGGCCGGGCGGCGATGACTCTGCGAGCGGGGCCGGCCGAGGCTCGGGCCCGGAGGCTTTGGTACGTGGGCTCTGTGGTGGCTGAGGAGGCCGGAGGGGGCGGGGGCAGGCACCTGCCCGCTGCTTCGGAGCCGGGCTGGGGGAGGTGGGGGAGGCCCAGTCTCAGAGAGAAGGCTCTCCGGAGCCAGGCCTGAGAGCCGGGCGGCGGGAGTCTGTGCCACTGTCTCCAGCCCCGGGCACAGCCCGGCCCCGCCGTCCTTCCCGCTCAGCACGCCAGTCGGCAGGAAGGAGTAGTGCCAGCAGCCTGCTCCCTGGCCCCCACCCCCACCCCCCACTTAGCTGAAGGCCCCCTCCCTCCACGGCCCGCCGGCTCTGAAGGCAGGGCCCCCGGGCACAGGTGTCCTGTTCGTGTCCCGTCCGTGTCCTCAGAGGGGCCACCACGCTCCCTGCCGTCAGCCCAGGCCTCCCTCCCCGGGCCCTTACTGTGGGGTCATGGTCCCAAACTTCTTCTCGATGAGGAGCCTCTGGGTGGTGTGGTCGCTCACCGCCTCTCGGGGCTCTGGCGCAGGGAGAGAGGGGGTCAGGGGCGGAGGGGCCCGGGGGTCACGGAGCTTTTCCAACGGGGCTGACGAGGAGGCCCTCAGGGAAACCACTTCCCCAGGCGGGAGAGGGCGGCCATGTTGTTTGTTAGGACTCAGGCCTGACCGCTCCGAACAGCCTGTCCTGGCCACAGGGATGGCTCAGGAAGAGGCCGGCGGGCGGCCACTGGAGCTCCCGGAGGAGAGGGCTCTGCGGGAAGGGAAGCTGGAGGTGCCGAGCCGAGGGTGTGAGAGGGAGTTGTGCGTGGCCACTTTCCCACCACGAAGCGGGAGCCGCTCTGAGCAGCCGAGGAGCAGAGCGACGGGCGGAGACCAGGTCCTGACCGCCGAGCGAGGCCTGGGTCCAGCCGCTCCTGGGAGCCCCTGCGCTCTCCGTTTGCTAAGTGATTTCTCTTTTTGCTTCGTCTCTTTCCCGGAGTGTCTGCCCCTGATGGAGCAGGCAGGTGGCCCCTCAGGACCCTCGGTCCCCTGGCGGTGATGCCCTAAAGAGCGGGGTTCTGGAGCTCAGATTCCAGACAAAATTGCCGCACCCAGAGCCTCTGGACAAGCGTGTGTCCGACCCTGACAAAACCCTCCGGCCGCTGAGGCCACCGCCACGGCCACAGACTTGCAAGAATTGGCTCTCAGTTTAACTGGCTTCGGAGGCTGGTCTAAGCTTTGCACGTTTCCCTGGCGCCTGGCATCTGGTCTGACCGGGAGGGGAGGGCCGTACCTTCCTCGCTGAGCATCATCAGAGACTCCGCCAGCAGCTTCTCCTGGAACTGGGCGGCCCTCTGGGAAGAAGAGGGGGTGCTGTGGGCGCCACGCCTGCGCCCTCCGCCCTCCGCCCTCCTCCTCATGTTTCTCCGACGCCCCCCCCCCCACTCCCCAGGGCCTCCCCTCCGCACCTCCTGCTTCACTTTCTCCAGGCCCCGGAGCAGCGCCATCTGGAAGTTGTCCACCAGGACGGCAATCACCAGGCTGGAGGGGGACAGAGGAGGAGGCTGGAGGGGAGGCAGCGCCTTCTCGCCTTCTCCGGGTGAGAGGGCTGGGCAGGGGTCCCCCCGGGTTAGGCGGGGGAGGGGTAAAGCCGGGGAGCGGAGCGGGCAGCGCCCTCACTTGAGGAAGATGAAGTACTGGATGACGATGTAAACCATGAGGATGGGGATGATGGACCAGGCGCCTGGGAGGGGGGGTTGGAGCTGTGACTTCCTTGCCGTCAGCAAGCATCCGGCGCCCCCCTTCAGAGATGGGGTCACCAGCCCTCGGGGTCTGCCCACCCAGCCGGCCTCCGCCAGCGCCCAGCCTGGGGCCCGCCCACCGTTGGCCCGGCTGTCCAGGTAGATCAGGGACCAGTCGTCCAGCGTCAGCAAGGTGAAGAGGGTGAAGAGGGTGGTGAAGATGTTCTGGAAGCGATTGGGGTCAGACTGGCTGAACAGTCCCCGGAGCACCACCGAGAAGAGGACTGGAGGTTCAGGGCCAAACCGGGCTCAGGGGGCCTCCGCCCTGGTTCCTCCCCCGGTTCCTGCCCCCGGTTCTGCCCCCACCCTCCCCCACAGCACCGCGGGTGCCCACCCAGCCCACAGCACAGGATACAGAGGCAGGTGAACATGAGGACCAGGATGGCGGTGATGGACGGCATGGACCGCACCAGGGTCCCGGTCACTTCCTGGAGGCTGACCAGGATGCTGGGCAGAGGGAGAAAGGGAGGCTGAGGCAGGGGCGGTGGATCTGTGCCAGGAGCCCCTGGCTGGCCGGACTCGGCAGAGCCCAGCCCCTCTCTGGGGAAGGAAGAGATTGAACCCGCGGGAGGCTTCCGGGAAGCTGGCTGGAGCCTGCAGCCCCGCCCCATCCCTGCAGCAGGTCACCGCCCGGGAGCCCAGGCCCGTCCCGTCCTCCGGAGGGCGCTGTGGCCCGCTGACCTGAGCCGCCGCAGGACGCGGATGGCCCGCAGGGCCCGCAGGCTCTTGAAGACCTTGAAGATGCGGAAGAAGTTGGGGTTGTAGACGGTGCGCTTCAGCGAGCGGGAGTTGAACTGCACGAGTGTGAACTCCAGCACGGCCATGATCATGATGAAGAAGTCTGAGGACACAGGCCCCTGAGCGTGCCGGCTCCTGCCCGGTCCGGCCCAGGCCCACAGCCGCCCCGCCGACACCCCGCCCGGCCCTCCCGCCCGCAGCTCCCCAGGGCAGCTCAGTGGCCCCCTCACACACACACCCCCCGTCTCTACACACCCAGATTGTTCCAGGCGTCATAAAAGTAGTCGAAGCCCATGCTGATGATCTTGAGCAGAGCTTCCACCACGTAGATGGAGAGGAAGATGCAGTCGAAGACCATGAAGTACCACTCTGCGGGGGCCGCGGGGCTTGCTCAGGGCCGTCGCCGGCAGCCCCGGCCCCTCTCCCCCTCCTCCCCACGGGAACCTTACCCACAGCCATTGAGGGAGAGCTGTGTGTGCTGACTGCTGTGTGCCTCAGTTTTCCTGTCTGTGAAATGGGGATAATGACAGCCTGCCGATACTTTTCATGAGCACGGAAGGCATTGAACACGGTCGAATGCTTAAAACGGAGCCCAAACCGGTGACCGTGCAAGAACCATCAGCCGTTCTACTTCTCTCTTTAGCTCGTGCCCTTTCCTTCACCCTGCTCCCCAGGGTTTTAAGGGCTGCCTTCTCAGGTTTCCCCTCTCACCCCTGCAGGGAAACCCTTCTAGCCCACGGGGTTCCCACCACGCGTCCCAGCAAAGCACAGTTAGAGCAAATGCGCCCTCTGGTGGCCGTGGCCACAAACAGCAGTCCTCTGGTTTCGCTGGCCTTTCTGTCCCTGGCTGCCTAGCCGACCTCAGCTCTCTCTCTCTCTGAGCCTCTTGACTGATACTGGGCAAAGTCGTCTGCTTCCCAGGGGTGAGGACCAAGCCAGGTGATTTAAATATATTTCATTGCTTTTTTACAGAGAGGAAGGGAGAGGGATAGAGAGCTAGAAACATCGATGAGAGAGAAACATCGATCAGCTGCCTCCTGCACCGCCCCCCTCCCCCCCCACTGGGGATGTGCCTACAACCAAGGTACACGCCTTTGACCGGAATTGAACCCGGGACCTTTCAGTCCGCAGACTGATGCTCTATCCACTGAGCCAAACAGGTTTTGGCAAGCCAGCTGATTCAGATGAAGCCAGCGGGCCCGGGGCCAGGCCGACAGGAGGTCTGAAACACCGTCCACAGCCCTCTCCACCTGAGCAGGGCTCCCGGCTCTTACCGCCCCGGACCTCGACGATCGCGAAGGTCTGGGCCACCAGCATGACGATGTTGAGGCAGACGACGATGAAGATGAAGGCGTCGAAGAACAGGGACTCGGTCAGGACCCTGAGCATCCTCCGGAGCCCGTGAAAGAGGGAGCAGCAGTTTTCGCACAGCTTACTGCACACGGTCCCGCTGCGCGCCTTCTTGTGGAGCCGCGAGGTCTTGTTGGCTGCAAGGGAGCCTGAAAGGCAGGTCTGTGAGGAGGGGCTTTGGGGTCCCAGGCCGCCTGTCAGCTGGGTTGGGGTTCATCTTCATGCCTGTCCGCTTGCCTGCCACCCGCTCACGAAGGGGCCTCTGTGTGTGGATCCCGGCTCTTTCCACAGCCGAGGCCAGCCTGCGTGGGGTTTGGGGTCTGCTTGAGCACGCTTTGAGGGCTCCTGTTCCCACCATCTGCCTTTCTTTACGCACATGGCAACTGCCGTGTGGAAAACCCACTCCTCCGTGCCGCCCCAGCCTCCTCTCCCTTTGAGATTCTGCTGAAGCGCCTCCTCTGGCTGCTTCCCCCAGCCCCTCCGTGAGACATCCAACCCCCTCTGCTTGCTTGCGAGGCTGTTGCCATGTTTACTGAGCTACTAGGGGCCAAGTTTGGGGGGGTCGCGCATGAACAGCCAGGCCCTGCCCTCGAATGGCTCTCACTCAGGCACTGCTCCCGGAAGCTCCTGGCTTAGTGTGGGAAATAGGGACAGGTGAGTCCACTGATGTTCTGACAGGAAGGGTAGGGCTCCGTCACTGGGCGATCTGGGTGGGCGGGTTGGTTGGTTGGTTGGTTGGTTCTGACCACCCCCAGCCTGGGAGCCCCTTGAGGGCTGGTCTTCCCTGTGCTGTCAGGGCCCAGCTGGTGCAGGGACCCATGGAGATAAGAGGAAATGTTGGACCAGTGAACGGCAAATGCACAAAGCAGTGACTGAGTGGACACACCACTGACACCCCAGAGAGGCGCCTGGTTCTACCAGGAAAAGGTTGGGTAAGTGAACAGCCAAAGGGAAGCACCTGCAGGTGAGAGTCACGCCTCATGATCGGTGCAGGACTGGTGCAGGGCCTGCGTCAGACCCGCCGCCCAGCCCAGGAGTTGGAACGGGGGCGGTGGGGGTGGGCAAAGACTCACTGCTTGGCTGATCTTGCTCTTCTTCAGGCGAGCTATCCGAGGTCTTAGAGAAGAATTCCAGAGGATGCACTTTGCTGGCAGATGATTGGACTGTAGTGCGGGAACGCATCAAGCTAACGGGCACGCTCGGCCTGCGTGCCACGCTGGGTTGGAAGACTAAGCTGGCTCTGGCCATGCTGCCGGCTGTGTCTCTGGAGCTGACGCGAGGGTACTCCCCGTAGTGGTGCTCCCGGCGGCGGTGCTTGCCGTGGTGGCGATGGTGGCCGTGCTGGTGCTCCCCCTGCTGGCTGTGGCGGAGCTCACTGGGGGAGTGAGACAGGCCGCGGTGGGAAGAGCTTTCCCCGGGGCGAGGAGGCCGTCTGCGGTGGTGGGTTGGATGACGGTGGTGCTTGCTGTGGCCGTCAGCATCGGGGCGCCCGGGCCCTCCTGGCTCAGTACTCCCTGACTCACTGTCTTGGAAGTACTCTGCAGAGAGGAAAGGCTCGCCGCGGAGGCGGGGCCACCTTTGGCGGGGCCTGCCGCGATGCCTCCTGCCGCCGTGGCCGTGCTCCTCGAGAATGGGTATCTTCTCATAGGTGAGGTGGGAGGGGACGGTGCTAGGAGTTACAATCCCGGACAGGTCAAAGGATGTGGAGGGCTGGGGGGAGAGGCGGGAGAGGGCATAGTCAGGGGAGTCTTGCGACTCGCCACGGGGGTGAGATTCACCGTGGTGGTGGGCTCTTCTATGACCTGGTGTGAGGTGTGGGGCTGGTGGGCTGCGGGGAGAGAGCGTATTCAAATTACTGGCGTCTGTCTCGTTTGGAGCCTCTCCCGCCATCGAAGGTTGATCAGTGACTCTGAAGAGCTGGGAACCCTTGAACACGAAGAGCTCAAGACACAGCCCAGCAGGATCCTGCCTGGACTGTCCCGCGCACCTCGCTGTGGCCACGGGGTTGCCGGGAGAGCCGGACTCTTCCCCAGAACTCTCCCCTCTGTGACGTCGCCAGCAGGGCCCCTCCCCGGCCCCATTCTCCGATGCCTCCCACCGGGCTCTATGGTCGTTCAGAGCCAAAGATCATTGTGTCTAAACCCTTCGTTGCAAAATTAGGAAACCAGGGCCGAGAAAAGGGAGGGGAATGGTCCAACGTGAGCCATCGGGGCAATGGCAAAGCTGGACCCAGAGCAAAGACACCTCCGCTCACAGACGGACATCCTGTGGGTTTGCCCGTCCGGATGGCATCTATAGGACCGGCCATTTTATCTCGTGAGGGCTCCCCCACCGAGCGCTTCCCGATGGGCATTTCCACGGGGCACAGCTATCTCCCCGGCTGTGAGCATGTTCGGAAGCCACAGCCCTCTCTCCTGGACTCTCACGCCCTCAGGCTCCCCGCTGTGCTCTTCCTAAGCCTCCGCAGACGGCCAGCCCTTTAGATGCTGTCCGCACCACAGGCCTCCTCTCCTCCGCATCACGGGGGCCGCGCCTGTCCTGCCTGTCGTCCTGCCCACCGGGGAGATTTTTCTTTCCTTCCCCGCCATCCTCCGGGAATCCCTCCAAATAGGCTGTCCACAGAAGCTGTCCACTCTGGCTGGCACTGGCTTCCTGTGCACAGCCTTCCACACATCAGACCTGTCCTTCCTCTTCCCCTTGAAGCTACGGAGCTTAAACTAAGGGGGAGGAAGGGAAGCCATAGAGGAAATGCCATGGGCCTCCCGGCACCTGCCTGGCCGCTCATTGTGCCTCTGGATGTGCTCGGGCCCGGCATGGCACACGCCCTTCCAGTTTGCAGTGTGACGCAGCTGTGCAAACCCAAGTTCAGGACCCGGTGGCTCGGAGAACACTCAGCTCATGAAGGACATCTGGGCCCGATAATCCCTGGGTGTCCGTAAAGCTGGCATTCGGTCTTTATCAAGCCTCCGAACCAGCCAGCAGCTGCTTTCCGGAGTGCGGAGGAGCGTTGGCAGCGGCCAGCGCAGCCACAGCTGCGAGGGGCACGGCTCTGATGCTCCTCTCGGGACGTGCCAGAGGCACCACGTGGCATCTCTGCTGACACCTGAGTCAGGCACGCGGACCTGCCAGGCGTCACGGCCAAGTGCAGGGCAGCTTGCTCACGGCTGGGCTTGGGAAGAGCCGTGTTTCAGACCCAGAGCTAACACTGTCGGATTTATAGGTGACCCGGTGAGTGAGTCAAAGCACCTTGTCTAAGGGTGACGTATGTTGGCTTCCAAGCCCAGAAGACATACCACACGTGGCTCCTATTTATGGTGGATGGCACAGGGGACAGCGTCTCGTGTCTCTCACATCGGAAGGTATCAGACAGCCCGCTGGCATGGCTCAGGGGTTGATCATCGACCCCATGAACCAGGAGGTCACAGTTCAATTCCCAGGAGGTCACAGTTCAATTCCGGGTTGCGGGTTTGATCCCCAGTGTAGGTGTGCAAGAGGCACCTGATCGATGATCCTCTCTCATCATTGATGTTTCTATATCTCTATTTCCCTCTCTCGTCCTCTCTGAAATCAATAAAAATTAAAAAAAAAAAAAAGAAGATATCTGACATTCCCAATGATCTGGTCCCCTAGACTTTCCTGATACGGCAGATCCTTTAACTTCCACAGGGCTCATCGCTGACGTTGGCACAATCTGTCTAAGGCACCTAAGATGCTGCTGTTTTCTGTTCACAGAGCTCAGTTAGCATAATGGCATCAATCCAATGCACCAGCATCGTGTTCTCTGTGTTATTAAGACTATCAGGACTCTGGCCGAAACCGGTTTGGCTCAGTGGATAGAGCGTCGGCCTGCAGACTGAAAGGTCCTGGGTTCGATTCCAGTCAAGGGCATGTGCCTTGGTTGCGGGCACATCCCCAGGAGGGGGTGTGCAGGAGGCAGATGTTTCTCTCTGATCAATGTTTCTAGCTTTCTATCCCTCTCCCTTCCTCTCTGTGAAAAATCAATAGAATATATTTAAAAAGAAAAAAAAAGAAAGTAAAAGAAAAAAGACTATCATGACTCTGAACCTTGCGGTTTGCAGAATGGCAAAACCCGGGGCAGGACAGTGAAGGCCCGCTGTTTTCCCTCTATGTAAATGCAAACAGCAATTTCCCACACTCATGGGAATGTAAGGGAAAACACGAGTTCAATAGCCACAGGCCAGTTGCTGGGGTTCAGACTGATTTTCTCCGGTGAAGATGTCAAACCTAGAATTGCAGTTGTGGCTGGCATCCCTGCATCATTGAGGTTCCTTTTTCGCCTGCAGGAAGGGGCGTTATAGTTTCTGCAGGTCGTGGCATGGCTTTTGGTGTGTAACTTGGCAGGAGAGGGAGGACAGTGCCAGGGTCTCCATTGGGGAAGGTTCTGCCGGCTGCTGAGTACAATAAATTCACAATAAATCCTGGGATGGGGGAAAAACCACGGCACAGACCCGAGGGCCTCAGGAATGTGGGCTTTAATCCCTGAACGTCTCTGATGCTCATTGGTGTCCTCGGCCATAATATTCAAGTTGAATATTATGGAAGCTGCAGGGGGTTTGCACGGTGTCATTTTAGCTAAACGGAAACTATGTTTCCCAGAATTCTCTTCCCGGCAGTACTGACTTAGCCAGGCCCCCGGTGACATCTTGTGCAAGCCTTGCCGAGTAGTAGGGAAGCAGGAGTGAAGCGGAGTTGTGTCCTTTTCCGCCAGGAAGGTTGGTGCGGGGCCCCCAGAAGCCGTGGCAGCTTGCTCATGGGGACCCTAACTTTTGAGCTCACCCCGATGGCGTGGGGCAGCAGCTGGGCCCCCGCTCCCCCAGCTTCCACCAGTCCCCCCAGTTCCTGTCACCCCTGTTCCAGTGTCTGTTCCACTCCCTCCCAGCTCCTCCTAGGTTAGGGGTGTCGAACTCAATCAGAGAAGGGGCCAAAATCTAAAATCCAGCCTAAATCGCGGGCCGAATGGTTTACTGAACAGTCATAAACTGTCATTGTGATGGAAACGCAGCGGAGTGCAGTGATGACAGCGCGGTGCGGGCCACATTGCAAGGCCTGGCGGGACGGATTTGGCCCGCGGGCCTTGTGTTTGACACGTGTCCTAGGTCATCAAAGTTGGAGGCTCGGATATAGCACGAGATGGATGTAGCTTCTGGTCCCTCCTGTGGGTGCAAGCTGCTCCTCGCAGGTGCCAGTGTGTTCCTGCTTCCCTCACCCCTCCTTCATCCCAACTGTCTGCCTGCTGCTTCCGGCTCCAGCACCAACCAAAAAGACAACAGTCTCATATGGTCAGCTCTCGTAATTATGTTGGGTCTTACCCCTATGATACATGTTTACCATATACAACAACTCCAGGTAACTTTGTTTCTCTGATCAACTCCTGGCCAAAACAGTAACTTTCTTTAAAAAAATTTTTTTTTTAAATTGATTTCAGAGAGGAAGGGAGAGGGAGAGCTAGAAACATCAGTGATGACTGGCTGCCTCCTGCACACCGCACAATGGTGCCCTGACCAGGAATCAAACCTTGACCTCCTGGTTCATAGGTAGATGTTCAACCCCTGAGCCACGCCAGCCAGACTGACACAATAACTTTAAATTATTTGACATAAAAATTGCCCTAATCGGTGGCTCAGTGGATAGAGCGTCAGTCAAGGGCATGTACCTTGACAGCTGATCGATGTTTCTAACTCTCTATCCCTCTCCCTTCTTCTCTGATTTTTTTTACAGAGAGGAAGGGAGAGGGATAGAGAGTTAGGAACATCCACTCTCTGCCGGAAGGTGTCGGGCCCAGCACCTCAGGCAGTGATATGTGGGGAAGTGGTTAGCACCCACTTCTCCATGCGTAATTCTGATTAGTGCGTGTTGGCTGATATTTTTGTTTTTGTTAATGAGGAACAACCTTTTCTCCTGAGGGGCCAAAGAGTAAATAGTTTAGGCTTTTGTAGTACAAAATACCTCAGGACAATAAGTAAATAAGTGAGTGTGGCTGTGTTCCAATAAATCTTTATTGAAAACAGGTGGTGGGCCGAAGCCGGTTTGGCTCAGTGGATAGAGCATCGGCCCATGGACTGGAAGGTCCTGGGTTCGATTCCGGTCAAGGGCATGTACCTTGGTTGCAGGCACATCCCCATTAGGGGGTGTGCAGGAGGCAGCTGATCGATGTTTCTAACTACCCTGTTTCCGCGAAAATAAGACAGTGTCTTATATTAATTTTTGCTCCCAAAGATGCGCTAGGTCTTATTTTCAGGGGATGTCTTATCCTTCTATGCGCTAGGTCTTATTTTTGGAGGATGTCTTATTTTCGGGGAAACACGGTATCCCTCTCTTTTCCTCTCTGTAAAAAATCAATAAAATATATTTAAAACAACAACAACAAACAAACAGGTGGTGGGTCTGGTTTGGCTTATAGTTGGTGTTGTGGGGTTGAACCCTGGAGTCACAAATAAGACCACTGGAGGCTACTAACTGATTTAAAAAAAGCAGGCAAGGCTTTACTGAGCTGGCCAGGACGGCCGCGAGAGCACCACATGCAGGTGGAGTGCACACTCACGACCGCGCCAGGTGTAGGCAGTCCTGTTAAAGGTCTCAACCACAGAAATTTTCCTTTGTTCTAAATTCTAAATTCTAAAGGCTGGGAACACACATGGGAACAGCCCACAGGGTTGTTCCCAGCCACATCCTGCTGGACGCTGGAATGTGGCCCTATCTTGTGAAAGCAATTTTTACAGGAGCAGCATCAAGCAGAGTCAGTAATCTCTAAAGGTTATCTGAGTCTGTGGGAATCCATCTCCTGTGGTTCCGGTCCACAGGCTCAGGAGAATTGCCTCAGCCTCCAGGTCTCCACCTGGAAGCCAAGGCAGCTACCCTATTGTTTAAGC